GTAAATTAACTGCTATTTTCAGTAAAAATGATATAACTTGAATTATTTTTTTACTTTGGTGAGTCGTATTAATTTAAAAACACTGCCTAATTACTAAAATATATAGCTACTTATATATACTTATACTAACTTGCTACTAATTACGTTTGGAGAATAATATGTATAGTAGGGTGGCACAAAAAAAAAGATTTTTTTTTGTGTCGTGAAAATATGTTAGTTTATCATGTTTTAAGAGCTCCCTCAAAAAATCAGCTCAAAAATTTTTTTTAGAGGTCCCAAGATTTTTAAAAATTTCCAAAATCGTCAAAAATTGAATTTTTTATCTTTCAATTTCAATTCAATAAAAAATAAATTATTAGTTCGTTGATATTTATTTTTTAGAGATCGCTCGAAAACATAGATACACTACTTTGAAAATTAAAATAATTATGAGTGACCTTTAGAAATTAAAATATGGATTTGAAACTTTCAGAATCGAGATTTTTTTCAACCTAGAAAATGATAAAAAAACGGGAAAAAAATTAAACACAAAAAAATTAAATTTGACGATTTTGGACATTTTTAAAAATCTTGAACGACCTCTAAAAAATTTTTTCTTTGACCTGACGTTTTGAGGGGGCTCTTAAAACATGATAAACTAATATATTTTCACAGGAGACACGAAAAAAAAATAATCGTTTTTTTTGTGGCCCACCCTAAATTGTATAGGCATAACATATTATATTATATATTATTATTGTATCTATCAGGGAAATATTATTAAAATTTTAAGTTATTATTAACAAGATGTGTAATGGAATTCCCCTAGCAGGTAAGACCGTCAAGAAATTGTTCTTATCTAATTCCAATATAATGATTCCCACTGCAAAAAATGACTGAGCAAGATACCGTTGGACTGGAATATAATTACTGGTAAATAATATAGGTACATATAATTTCATAAGGGTGCATAAGGGTGAAAAATTTGAAAAAGTCAATTGAAGAACCATACATTCAAGGTATGCACCAGGCTCGGTCCCTACGCAGCAACTCGGCATTGAAATATTTGAAAAACTTGTTCCCATATTTATTTAGCCATACCCATACAGAGGTCTGGTGGGACTAAACGTGCAGCTGGTAGAAATGTATACGCCCAGTTGAAGAATGCGCGTGCGGGCAAATAATGTCCCATACAGTTGCTTTGGTCAACTGCGTCGTGAATTTCAGTTCTAGACAAGTAGCTTGGCAGTGCAGTGCGGGAATGCGGAATTTGGTGTGATTCAGATAATTTTAATTTACTATAGGTACCTTCTATCAATCATTCATATGACAATTGCGAAAGGGAGAAATAAGAGGGATATTTTGTTTATTAATATTATCACAACATGGCATTTTGGAGACCTTTTGAAACGGAACAAAATGAAATTTACCATCAATATAATAAAATTGTTTGAGGACATAAATAATTAAAATATGTTGTTGGTCAAATGAACATATAATAAAAATTTTCTACACATTATATACAAATTATTATAATTTTCTACCTTTAGCAGAAAACTTTTTTAGGGACGCCCATGAAACTCATTCAATTTGATTGCTTGTTTTTTTATGCATGTTCAACTGACTTCGGAAAAACTATACTCTATTGTGTGTTAAAATTTCAGTTAGTTTCGTTATCCCATTAAGTTATTGAAAATGTTGAAAAAATCACGGTTTTCTGCCTATAAAATTGATACCTCTCACTTTAACTCGCCGTAAGTTTCTTTGTTAATTGATAAAAAAAATTCAAATTTTTACTGACGATAAGTCGCACTATAGTCTTTAGTACTGTGAAGGTCATTTGTCTCAAAAGATCTTTTTTTTTTTTTTTAAGCAAAACAGAAGGGGGTCCATAAATATTGCATTCTTTAAAAAAAGAAAAATACTGACTCGAGTAGTAAATAATTGTAAACAACAATCTGAAAAAATTTGTTAAAATAATACAGTTATAAAGGCTATACTATATACTCTGCATCGGACCGTGACCGTAATTGACCATTCCGATACTGTTTTTAAGAATATCATATTTATAACTGTATTATTTTAACATATTTTTTCAAATTGTTGTTTACAGTTATTTGCTACCTGTCAGTTTTTTTTTAAAAAATGCCATATTTACGGAGATAGCACTCCCTTATGTTTCACTTAAAAATAAAAAAAGAAGACCTTTTGAGACAAATGACCTTTACAGTATTAAAGGCTCGACTTATCGTTAGTAAAAATTGGATTTTTTTTATCAGTTAACAAAAAAATTACGACGAGTTAAAGTGAGAGGTACCAATAATTTTATATGCAGAAAACCGTGATTTTTTCAACATTTTCATTAATAACTAACAAATGGGATAACGAAACCAACTGAAATTTTAGCACACAATAGAGTAATAGTGAGGCTATATATGGTCCAAATTTCAAATTTTTTGCCCCAACGTTTTCTTAATATCGGTTTCCAAACTCAGAGGTTTATTTCATTTATTTCGATAGTAAGTGACTAAAAATAAGCAAAAGTTGATTGTCAAGACAATATGAAATTAAAATCGTGTTAGTTATATTTATATTCAAGAATGTATAATTTTTTTGGTCGTAACTTTTTTCATTAAATATCCAGTGGTTTCCTTCTTACCGGTAAGTAGCTTGAAGATTTGTAGATTTGTAGATTGAAGAAGAAATCTATCTGAGCCAGGCTAATTTTTAAGCTGTAAATTTATTTAAACATAAATAACGATTTTATGTGGGACACCCTGTACGTAAAATTTAATCTGTATTCTTAATAAAGAAAAATTAGTACATATTATTGGTTTTTTATGCGTTATATTTTCGTACTATTTAAGCTTTACAAAATCATTACTTAGTACTTAGTACTACTTAGTACTACTAGGTATATCAAAGATAATATTAAACCATTATGCTTTATTTTAGGACGCATTTATAATAAACCAACTCTGTGTTTTCACTTTCATTTTCAAGGGTAGCGACACCTGTGAGAGAGTGTACAAACTAATTATATCGAAAGAAATTAAAAATATCTTGTGAATAGGTAGGAAACTCGACAATTCTAGTTTAGATACATATTAAAAATGGAGTCGTGTATAAAATGTTGTCATTTCACTTGAGGACACAAATTATAGAACTATTAATAAATATTAATCTGAAAATTAAATACAAATGATCCTAGGTGTCCGTTCTAGTGAGTGAAGTAGTTTGGTTATTGTGCCTAACCTAGTTCCGTTGTAAATGGAATATATTGGCAGACTAACAGTATGGTTAAAATTGAGGTACTTTGGCATTTATTTAAATTATTCTTCTGTTCTCATGAGCATTGAAATTTATCTCACTCACTAGCGGGAACCATTGCGAATACATTGATATATAATAATATTCAATTATGTTAGTTTCTTCGATGATTTGTGTCCTCATCTGAAGCTCTGTTACACGGTAAAAATATACATACTAAATCGCCCCCTTAAGGCTTCATGTTCATGAGCCTTCCCCCACTGAACAGCAGCAATCCTTTCAAGACTATAGCCTTCAGCGAGACTTTTAAATAGAGATGGTGGAAATCGGTTTCTTTTACAGGCTGACAATACCATCCCAAACCTACTCGCTGTCAACCTGTGTTTCCTGGCTAGATGCCAGTTGTCGTTAGTATGCTGCCCACGTGTAATTTTTTCAATGGTACAAATGATATCCTGTGATACTGCACACTTTTCAGAAATAAACCGCCCTTTATCGTTTGAGTTGATGTATTCTGCACTCTGCAAAACTGCCTCAACATCGGGAATTATTAGGGTAGCTTCATGGGTGACTTCAGGTCTGAGGAGCCAAGCAAAGCCCACAACATTTGTGTTTCCCAAGTCATTACGCAACTGGGCAATTTCCTTTTCGGTAGCACATCGTTCAACTGCTTTATATATGGCTTCTTGAGTTGGTGGACATCTTTTAGCTTAACTATGTTATCTTCGTGATGACGCTTTGCACGAGGAACACTCCATTGGCACTGCATATCAGTTGCACTTATGTTATAATGTGCATAATAAAGCACAGCTGCCATATGGTGGCAGGAAACAGTACCCCTTGGGCAAGTGCAATATGCGTCTTTAACGCCCTCCTCAAGATCAAATGATATCTAAACAAACAAATCACATTAACGCTTTCATTAAAACATTCTTGGAAACACAAACCTCAATATTGTAATTATGGTTTTCCATACTAGCCTTCACCTCGGCTTTAATCATGATCGGTTGCACTGTTCCATCAATTGTAAATTTAACGACATGTCCACTTCCATAGGCATTTTCGCCCCGAGCCAAAGGCCTATGAGCATCGGCGAAAAATTGGGCTATAAGATGGAACTTTATAATGTGCTTCTCTGCCACTAAAATAGATTCTTTTAACGTTTGTTTAACTAATATTGTATTTTACTTACTTGGATGAAACACATAAAAATAACGGTAACGAAATAATTCCAATTTTCGCCCAAACGTACAATTATTCTGATAAGAAAAGTGAGGTTAGGACACAATTAATTTAGATTTATCCTGTTACTTACGAAAATCTGCACAGAAATGGAAGTCCAAAGATGTATTTCAAACAAATAAAGTTTTTAGTAAATTACACAATAAACAAAAACAAGACTATGAAAAACAAAATAAAAAATATGGTGAAGCTACACGAACACGAATGATGAAAAAGAATTGTTTAGATTCATGTACCTGACTTTTCCCAACAAAGATGGAGGAAATACGTCATCACTAATACTGCGTATTTCGCTGGTTTATTTAATTGAAAAAAGAAAATTACTTAGCTGAACCAAAATAAGTACGAGACTTCTTGAATCAATCTTGTATGACTATTCAGCCATAATATATTGCCAAATTTGTAGAAAACTATTAAAAAGGTGGGTAAAGGAAAAGTTTGGAGTCCAAAAGATTAATTTAAAGGTTATAAATAAAGTCTGAGAGCCATACATGTGAATCATATTTTTATTAAAGATATGACTAGATCAATACATATATAAAATATTAATGTAAAGTGATAATACTAAAAAAAATTAACATGATACTCTATATTCATTACCATTACGATATTTAATAATTCCATTACATTATAGTTAACCACTAGGCATTTAGCGGCATATTTACAGCTGCACTATAACGAAGGTGTAAAAAGTTATGAATTGACGAATTCGAGGAATGTAAAAACAAGTAGCAACGCAATAATTACATATAATAAGAAAAAATGTGTATTGCTTGAAAACTTAATGTTACACTTTGCTGTTCGCATGCTAAGCTCGTGAAGGCTCGCCAAAATAAATAGCTTCGTTCTGATATAAAAGGAAATACTTTATTCCATACAACAACCATCAATTTCATGTTTAAAATAAGATACCTACATTGCCATCACATTTGAATTTGTACGCAAAAAGGAAATAAGTTGGACGGGAGGTAATACGGTTTCAGTTGCTACTGTCCATTTCCGGGTCGCTGTCCGCATCAGAACTTGAACTGACGGCGAGATCTCCCGCCATAGCAACTCGAGCATATTCATCTTTGTCGATGGATTTGCAAAAATGAATGGCATATTTCAGTTTTTGTTGTAAAACGTGCTAAAAACAATGACCAAATCAGGAAAACATTTTATTTCTATAAGGCTTTCTGACTTGTGCACTAATAGTTTTGCTGTGCTCGAAAGTTCAATTTCAAATAGAAGCAAAATTTATATAGAACATTTTCATCAAGAACAAAACGCAGATTTTTAAGAAAGGAAGTTCATTTGCTGGGCTAGTTTTTGGCATCGTAAGAATTACTACAGAGCCTTCATAAATGAATTTATGAATAAATATCGATCATTTGTCTTCTGCCCGTTTACCGTTCTACTATCATATCATATAACTCAGATGTAAAGCCAACTTATATGAACATTTACCAAATGTATAGCTGCAATTTCTTACTTTCTTGTACATACAATGAAAATTGGTTATAACGTCATTGCTTTATACGACCTATTGGATATAACGACTGAATTTGGAAGTCCCGATTAAATTCTATAGAAATACCATATTAAAAATATCGTTTACTACGACACCGTTTACAATGACATCTCGGATTTAACGGCGCGTTTTTATATACATTTACCACAGAATCTATCGGTTATAAGAACCAATGGTGATATATGACCTTAAAACCAGTGCACCGCTCTTTGTCTGCCCCACCGCCATCCACCCTTTTGATACCAGTTAGTACGTTTAGGACAAACAGTTATATGTATTAATTACCACTTTCTATCAGGAAGTCAAAGAGAACAATGTTTAATAAAGAAAAATCACATATAATATGAAAACTAGAAAATGGAGAAACTAATGCAAGCATAGCAAAATAAATGTGACATGTCACACTATGTTTTCAACAATTTGGAAGGATAAAAATAAAATAAAGTCTGTTCGAAACCAATTCACTGAAAATGTTGTACGTGAGATCTACTGAACACAAAGCAAAACATATACATATTTAAAGACTTGTATAGTAACTTTCTCATTTTTTCAATAAACATTTTAAATAAAATATACAGGGTGATCCATTAAGAATGGAAACACTCGCGTACAAAAGTTGTTTATGGACCGATTTGAACTGTTTTTTTTTTTAAAGATAGATCTCCAAAATCTCTATCTTGATGCAAAATTTGAAGATGCAATTTTGATTTTCAAGACCTACTACCAATTTTTTTTCAAGTGAAAAATAGCAAAATTTTGTTAATGATTTTTTTATAAAAAATCTGACTACACCACTGGGTTTGGGAACCCCTCAAATGCATTTGTACCAATTTTTGCAAAAAAAAGTTTGCCCCTAAAAAAAGTTATGACAATATCAGCATCACCAGTGTCGTTGTCGGTGAACCTATCCTTTTATAAAAACTGAATAGAACCCAAAGGGAAACAAAATTAAATAACAAACACTGGTTTAATAATTATTAATAAGAATCATAAAAACCAGTATACATAAAATAAACAAGTTTGTCAAATTATTATTATTTCTTGGTTATTATGCCAAAACATACAAATATTACCTTCTTAGACAAAAATAATTACATTTATAATTTTTTTATTCAGAAAGTCACTGGATTCTATTACCATAATCCAATTCATTGTGAAGAATTTTCCGAAAAAATTACAATATTCCAGAAAATAATGTTGCTTAAAAATAATATGAACAAAATAGCCTACGCTACTGATCCAGATAGACCCTAATATTACGCATAGCACAGTTTTTAAAATAAACAATACTTTTATGGAATATGGTGCTGTATCAAAATGCATTTTAAAAAGGGACAATCAACAGAGAAGACGTATTCACAAGCAGGAAATTTTAAATTATTTTACAAACAATCCTCAGAATAGCCTCAGGATTGCTAGTTTAGATTTACATTTACCTAGAGAAAGTATCCGATGCTGCCTAAAAGAAAATAACATAAAACCCTATAAACCTAAGTTTCTTCACACTCTGGAACCAGGCGATAATAAGAAACGAATGGAGTTTTGTCTCTGGACACAGGGACAATATCTCAATTATCGACTTTTTTTTTAAAATATCTTATTCAGCGTTGAGGCCACATTCACGACGAATGGAATTGTATCATCACAGAACTCGCGGTGTTGGGTTTTAGAAAATCCAGTGGATAATTAATTGCCGAAGACAATATAGTCAGAAAGTTGTTTGGTGTGGGATACTTAACGAGAGAGTCATTGTTCCGTTCTTCTTTGAAGGGAATATGAATGGCGAACAATTTCTACATTTCCTTCAGAACGAATTTTTTAATGCAGTCGATAATCTTCCATTACAAGAAAGAGTAAATCTACATTTTCAGTTGGATGGATGTCCAATACACAATGTGAGACAAGTCAGGGAGTGGCTTAACGAGAATTTCCCCAATCATTGGATAGGTCGAAACAGTCCATTAATTCATTGGCCACCCCGATCTCCAGACCTTACCCCACTTGATTTTTTTCTGTGGGGGCTTTAGTAAGCCCAAAGTTTATATGAAATGACCAAATAACCGGGAGTTATTGTGCACTAGAATAAGGGAAGCATGTGAGGAGATTAACGCGCATCTATTACGAAATGTTGTAAAAAATATAAAAAAACGTTATGAAAAATATATAGAATTAAACGGAGGATTAGTGGAAGCTACAAAAATTTAAATTTAATGACGTGATTAGTGTAAATCAATTTGACAGACTCCTTTTTCATTTTTAAAAATGTAATTTTTTAATCATTACTTTTTTTATCAATTGTTGTTTATATTAGAGTAATTGTTGTTTATTTTGTGTATACTGGTTTTTATGATTCTTATTAATAATTATTATACCAGTGTTTGTTATATAATTTTGTTTTCCTTTGGGTCCTATTCGGTTTTTATAAAAGAATAGGTTCACCGATAACGACAAACTCTGGTGATGCCGATATTGTCATAACTTTTTTAGGGGCAAACTTTTTTCGCAAAAATTGGTACAAATGTATTTGAGGGGTTCCCAAATCCAGTGGTGTAGTCAGATTTTTTATAAAAAAAATCGCTAACAAAATTTTGCTATTTTTCACTTAAAAAAAAATTCGTAGTAGGCCTTCAAAATCAAAATTTCGTCTTCAAATTTTACATCAAGATAAAGCTTTTGGATCTTTAAAAAAAAAACAGTTCAAATCAGTCCATAAACAACTTTTGTACGCAAGTGTTTCCATTCTTAATGGGTCACCTTATATGTAATTGCTTATTACGTCTAATGGTTATAACAGCGGTCGGCAACTGGTGGACCACGGAAGGTAAAATACTGGGCCACCAAACGTTTTTTGAAAGTATAAATTAATCAAATAAATTATTTAAAAAATATTTTTTTTACATTTGAGTGCCATCCTTATCATTTTTTCTAGTATTTTACAATTGTGTGACTGATTTGAGTTCTTAATGGTTAGTAAGCAGATTAAATTTGAGTGTAAATTAAAATAAAAAATTAGTAAGAAATATGAATATTTTTTCTGGACCTCATTAAAAATTTTCAAAAGTATCCGGACCTCACCTAAAATTACTTGCCGACCCCTGGGTTATAACAACCGTAAACAAGTGGTTCCTTGAAGGTCATTATAAGCAATTTTCACTGTATATGCTGAATATAGAAATTACGTTTGAAATACTCTATCAGATTTTTTTCACCACAATTTGCTTATACAATCATGAATAGTTAATAATTAAAAAATTATTTTTTTTCATTCTGTCAAAAATTTATTTACTTAAACTATCTGGAGTAATAACAGGGCTACTGTACTTTGCCACAACAATGGACTACTTTATACGTATGAGTAAATTGATTATCCCCAAAAACTTTCCTCCACATTTCATTCTTGATTTAATTTTTGGTTTAATTCCTTGTAATTTGGATCTCATTATTATTCGCGATTTTTGGTACATAACTATTCAATTTTCACTTACCTTGCATGAGTACCTAGGCATTTTAAGCAAAAAAAAGCAAGTGTAGCTCTCGGGCAAGAAATGATCTGGTGGCGTATACTTGTCTAAAATTTGTATAACAAAGTCCCTCCCTCTAAAATCGGCTATGGTTCTGGGTAAACGTGTTCGGCCCCACACGAACCTCAAGAAAAGTGATCTCTCTTGATTAGTGAACTCCTCCATAACCTCCCAGAACCACTGAATCAATGGAGCGCTACCATCGATACCTGAAATGAACCCGTTAATACACATTCGTTTATCATTACCTTAATTTTTTACCTTTATAAGTAGCGACCGATTTTAACAATGAAAGTGGTATATCGGGCGATCCGCACACCATTGTCTCCAATTCATAACCACTAAATAACGATAAAAGTGGCACGGGTACAACTCTGGACATTCCATCACGTACGGCCTTAACTTGTTCGTCAAATTCGTGCAACCTAAAAATCGTTGGTAAATAAAAATGTTTGATCAAAACGTACACAGATTACCTGAAATTTAAAGCTAATCGGACATATTCGAGTCGATTTTCGTAAGTAATCCTCTTGTATCTCGTACTAAGCGGCACATCTGTCCCGCAAGAAGAGGGCGTTGAAAAGGGCATCTCTAGATTTTGAAATAGTGGCTCATCCGCTGCCATATCTCTAATACATAATAGTCCTGGGACGTAATCTCTATCGATTTCTGTTAAATCAGCAGGTGTCAAATCTATTCCTGCTAGTTGCTTCCAAACTGGTTCTGCGAGATTCAAGCTCAGAGGGGAGCCGGTTCTTATGGCAATGCCCATAAGAACCCCTAAAAATCTGAACATGTTCAAGTTCAGGCATGTTTTCGCAAGAGGGTTTAATATGAAGCAGTCACGGTTCACGCCAGCTTCATCTCTACCATTGGGTGTTGGAATCAGAAGAGGCAGGGATCCGTTTTGTAGTTCGTCACACATTTCCGCTATGCTCTCACTGTAGCCGCCGCCACAGTCATCCACGCTTTCACCTTTGGGAAATTATGGAAAAATTCTAATATTCTGTATGTATAGGGTGTAAATTTAAGGGCAGAGCAGTTTCTTAGGGATAATAGCATATCTTTTCCAGAATAATATGATTTTTTGAAAGAAGCTAAGGTGTTGTAAATGATTTTTAATTTAATCTAAGAAGTGATAATAATCTTATAAAATATATTTCAGTAAAAAAACAGTTCATAGAATCGTTTCCCCTAAACTTACCCACAAACTCAACTTTCCAAACTCTGTGAGGTAATGCCAGAGTTTCCGAAGTCAACAATGGCAATTTGCTGACCATCTGTCCAAAGACAGATTTCATTCCGTCTACTCCGGCCAAGCCTCCTCTTGATCTTGACCTTTTCACTTGAATCCTATTCAGTTCTATAACCGGTCCGTGATGTTTATCTCTAACCATCGTGGCTTGAACGACTTTCCTGAAAGTCGCCTCTTTTATGTTGTAAATTAAAATACTCCTTAATTCATGCAAAGAATCAGGGCCGGTAATGGGAAACATCGTAATGCAGGGGCATATCAATTCAGCGAAATGATGCAAAAGAACTAATCGGCGATGTAATACCCATGGCGGAATATCTTGCAGTAAGTCATATTCTAAGGGAGCGACTGACGGTAATCTAGCACAAGCGGAACTTGCGTTACTTGTAGACCAAGCCAAGGTGTGTGCAGAGCCGCAGGCAACGTTCGTTATTTTCTTCGCGTTTGCCTGCTTAAAAATTAAATTTGAATAATGCTTCTATTTAGTATGTAAGAAAAATAAGTCAAGGTGTATGTTACAAGATGTGGGTGTGTCTCGACATCTGCAAACTATACATGACAAACATCGACATTGAATTAAATTCTTTACTTTACCTTGCAAGCATGTCAAATTCAAAGATTAATACTTGACCGAAACTCAAGAATTCATATCTCAACTACCACGCTGCATATGCTGTTTTACTGTTTAAGAAAATTGATGATACCCATAAATTTTTAAATTGCATTCTGAGTAATAATTCTCTTAAAAATTAAAAACCGAGGACAATGCTCACATACATAGGTTTCACACTGTAGTTTTTAGAAAACTTCTAAAGCTTAAAGTGCTGACACTCTAAGGTGGTTGAATCGGGTGGCCAACTAAGAAAGGCCACCGGCCATATCTCAGAAACGAATCATCACACAGCTTTAGGATTACATTGAAGAAAGTGGCCCTGAAAAACCGCTGAAAAATGTTTGATAGTTTTTAAAGTGTCCGCTAGGTGACGTAATAGCCACGACTAAATAGAAAATTGGTATTTTCTTCATATTTTACTGAAATAAGGGGTATTGAAAATAAATGCAGTGTAATCCTTAAACAATGTTGACTCTTTTGTGTAACACGTTTTGTTCTATCTCCAACAATAAAGTGGTGGGGAGACTTCAAAACAATTTTTTTTTAAATGCCGATTACTCCAGTTAGCCCCAATGGAATTTAACAAATTTGGCCTTATTTAAAGATTACCGTTGCCGCTAGGGAGAGGTATAGACATGCTTACAAATTTCGCGATTTTTCTTAGAAAAATCAAACGGAATGATACAGGATGAAATATAGCATTGAAGGCCTAAGACGTCCGTGAAAACTGCAACTCGATATCTATCGTATAAGTGTAGATATTATCACACAAAGTTTAAATTATGAATTTACGCATCCTGCTGACGTAATATGACTTGCTTATAGTCCACGGGCCCATGTACAAAGAAAAAAATGATTACCAGCAAGTTGTAACTTTGTGTGCAGCTTAAGTTTGACGAGTCTCCCAAGATTTGACTACGAGGAAAATTCAACAGTGGTAAGTTTTCCCGTGATTTTCAAGAAAACATGTCAATCTGGCATAAACATGGTATGTTATGACCAGCACTTTTTTTTTAAGTTTAAATGAGATATATTTTTTTTAAACCCACCAAAAAATTTGTCCGACAAAAATGTTGGTATTTTGATTTTGTCCCCCACCCCAAATATGTCGATTTGGTGACGTTATGGTTGGTGACAACCAGCAAGCTGATTTTTCTGGAGGGTTTGGTAATAAGATTTGAAATGAAAGTATCTTATTGTCCGACAAAATTCTTGAGAAGTTTTTGCAGTCCGACGCCCCAAAGATGTCGACTTAACGACAACATGGTTGGTGATAACCAGCTGTCGGACAAAAGCGTCATTATTTAAAAAAATACAATATTAATCTGAGAATTTAATTGTCCGACAAAATTATCGTTTTTTTTTGCTTGTCTGACAAAATTAAACGATAAAATTTTGCGGTTTCAATACTTACGCATGATGTAGAAGAAAAATTTATATTTAATAAAAAAAATATATGAATAAAAAAAAATGTTTAAATTTCTCAAATTTCAAAATAAATACGACTAATTTAAATATATTTTTTTATACAAGTACAAAAAAATTGTATACAGCTAATAGGTCAAAATTCATGGGTAGACTCTCGAAGCAAAAATATTGCGATTTAGCCGAACTTCCCTCAGTCCAAAAGTTAAGAGTTAAAGAGATTTGGAGTTCTTTAAGTAGAGAAATTGAAATGTGTTCGCATTTTGGTTAAATTTCATAGAGGGCGCTAGCTGCAGTAGATTGAATGTGTTAAAAACGACATAACTTTTTTATACTTTAAAGTATCTCATTTTTGGTATCAAATATTATTTTCCAACTTTTTTTACACAAAAAAGCTACACTTTATAAAACTAGCTGTCTCGCACCGTTTTCGAGATATTTGGCTTCGAAACTTCCAATGCTGTTGAATTAAATTACAATGAAGTACCTACCTATTATTAATTTAGCGGTGAAGGTTCTTAAGTTTAGACGAAAATCAAATAATTAACATATTCCACTTGTCTTATTGCTGTCATTTGTATGCTACTGTCCATTAAGTATTATTCGTACCTAAAATTACATCTTGATTTAAATTGTATGTACATAAATGTGAGATGGAATGCCAAGACTTCCGTTTTTGGGGCTACATGAAATCAGTTGTTTATGGAGAAACTAGAAACAACTGTTAAGAACTTTGGCAGCAAGTTTTAAATGCTGCAAAGTCATTTCGCATTAAGGATTTATACTTTACAACAAGACTATTTTTTAATAAACGCGTTGATAAATGTATAATATTTTTAAAATTGGTTTAATTGGTTTTTCAAGAACAAAATTATGTGTAAACTGTTTGTCAAAACAAGATTGCAAATTTTAATTTAAAAAAACACAAGCAAAAATTTATGCATTTACAGTTACCATTTTTTATAAAATAGTTACAATAGTTTATGGATAAAGTAGGGAGAAGGCTCATTGACTTCTGCGCATCCTATTTTCGAGGGACACTACCAGTGCCGCCATTTTGAACATGAACTGTCATTGTCTATGAACATCAATTTGTTTTGTTTTAATTTTTGAGGAGTGAGCAAGGTTATGTTTCGTGAATTATTTTTTAGTTACTATTTGTTTATATACGTATAATTTACGCCTGGAGCGGCAAATTGGCGCTGTGGACGTTTTTTAATATTCATTACATCGTTTCCACACTAAGGAAAACATTTATCCTTTATTGTTTTTGTTATGTCTTATGCTGTGAAGGGGTGCTTTTTAACATAAGGCGTTTTAAGGAATTACATTTCATCGGTAAGAGTGGTTTTATGAATTTATTTCTTGCAACAACTGTTTAAATAATCTTGCAGCTTTCCGAGGGGTGATATGTTTATAAAATGGGTAGAAAGTCTGAGACTTGATCACGAATTTAAATGGTCAGAGAAATAAAAAAAGATTTTCTGAATGCTGTAAGTCAAATTCGCCTAAAGCCTGATGCAGTTCCAAATTTAGAAGTCTTTTTAACTAATAAAGCCGACGCTCCATCCACAAGTTCAATTGAAACATTACATACCATACAAAATAATGCTCCATTTACTTCATCGATGTCATTAGATGATACGGCAGAGCGTTCTAAGCTTAACCAGAACCATTGGTAATTTTATTTTTTGTTAATACTAATTGTTTTAAATAAATATTATTTTCCCTGGCAGTGTATATTATTATTTTGGTGAATTGTCATCTAGTCAAGATACTTCTATAAGTACTGATAGCAGCACAAGGAGAAAACGTATAAAGTTTTTTCACACCGAACATAGTTATAGCTATGTACATCATAGAAAAAACAGTAATTAGGTTATGCGAGTTATACACGTTACACGTATTTTGTCTCCAACCCCAACCAATAACTATATTGCTTAGCTTACATGTTACATTATTTCAGTATATCACCTGATAACATGAAAAAAAAATATTCAAGACAACTTTTAGTATTCACTGAAAATAAATTGCCACATGAAAAGGATTTCATGATTGTATTTGTTGCTTCTGTGGTACAACAATTTTATAATTGTGCAGGAGAGCTATGTTCTTTAGTTTAATAGAGCACAGTGTTATCACTCGTATGAAAGTCATTTATTAATTCTAACGAAAAGTGTTGTTTCTGCATATATGCGAATAAAATTTTTTAATTATAATATATAATATACTAAAAAAATTCAGGGACATCTAATACGAAAACAACAAAGTCAATATTATTTAATCATCAATAAATAAAATATGTAAAATCATTATTATTTGTTTATACTAGTTTATCTTTATATTTCAAAATAGATTTTTTTTTAGATATTTACCAATTTCTGAAAAAAACCTATTAAAATAAAAATGTTGCTCATATAATTTGATCTTTATTCTTGGTATTGCATTTTAAATTTGCCTCTTCCTGTTCTTATTTAAATTTCCCTAAAATTTGTCTGTGTTGGCAACCACGATGTTCAAAATGGCGACCATTGTTATTAGCCGCTCGCGCAGGTTGTGAGAGCATTCTCCCCACTCTATATCTCTGGGATAATCTAGATAATCTAGATGCTCAAAATGCCGTCCATCATTTTCAGTACAAGAAATTACTCTCTGCTGAGTGGATAGAACAAGTCCACTGAAATACTTTGAATAGCATTTCTTATTCTTTCAATCATGTAGTAGGTCTGGTGGAAAACACAAGCTCTTTTATTCGCCCTCATAAATAAAAATCTAAACATGTCAGATCTGGACACCTGGGTGGCCAAGAGAATAAACTTCCACGCCCTATTCACCCGCCAGGATATGTTGCAACCGTCGCGTTGGTAAAACATATCACGACGAATTGCCAAAGAAGTGGCAATCCATTTCTTAAAAAATTTAGATAACGTTCTCCATTAAGGCTTTTAATAACAATAAAAGGCCCAATTATTTGTATATCAAGAGTTCCACACCAGCGACCCTGATATTGCACTTCTTGCATCCAGTGCCGATTTCCCTCTTCTAGTATGATGACGTCTTTCAGGATATTGCACCGCATAGACCCTAGCAGCAACAGTTGCATTTCTCATGCATTCGAAGAAAATCGCTAACCTGTCAAATACTTCTTCATTTGTAAGAATCGTTTTAATTTTAGAAATTAATTTAAAATCCGAAACACAAATTCAGCTAGAAAAGAGGTAATAAACACAATAACAACTATAACAATTTTTTGATATTATATTATTTCTGCATTGTCTCATTGTCGGAGCTTATTTGTTTTCAACTGACACTTTGTCAATTTCGTAGTCAAATCTAATAATTATTCATAATTTAAACTTTGTGTGCTAATATCTACCATTAGAAGATATCGAGTTGCAGTTTTCACTGACGTCTTAGGCGTTCAATGCTCTATTTCATCTTGTAAAAACAGACATACCATTCTGTGACGTCCTTGTGCACCTCACAACTTGTTAAGTACTGAATTATAATTCTTACAACGGTGTTTTCAATATTAACATTAGCGGCCATTTTAGAAACTAGCAAATATTTTCCAACAATTTTTCAGGGCCACTTTCCTCAAAGTAATTTTTTTCCTAAAGCTGAGCTCATTCATGAGATATGGCCGGCAGCCGTTCTTAGTTGGCCACCCGGTACATTATAGTGCTTTTTTGGCCAGTGCAAAGACAGTGATTTTCATACACTCGGGTAGCAGACCCGCCAGTAAAATACAAAACCTTTAAGAAAATAGATAAATCCACCTCTCCCCCGCACGCCGTTCCTTTATTTGTCGTGCTAAATATGTATATAAAAATATTCAACTTAACTGTCACTCCCCACTGCAAGCTAGTCAGACTGAGCAAAATTCGCATCATGGCGCCTAGTGTGGGGCTATGACAAAGGATAGACAACCAACCTACCTAAATCCGCGACATGGCGCCCAACGAGGGGTTAGGTTGCCAAATGAGCAAATGAATCAAAATTCGCAACCAGAGCCAACGATCTACCTAAATCCGTGGCACTACAATGCTTATAATTGTAACATTCCGAAATTCGTTTGTATCATGTTAAATATGGCCTACTTTTAGTTTTCAATTAGTACTTTGATCAGTGCATACATTCAACAGTTATGAGCGTGAAGGTTCGATTGTATAGACATATCCACATCGAAAACACTGTTTTGACAAATTTATACTTACTTGAAGATGTGATACAAGTCTCGGTCTTAGTATGGCGTTAGTTGTACCATCTCCAAGCTGGCCCTCATCGTTGTCACCCCAAGTGTAAACCTCCCCTTCGTCCGAACACGCTACGCAGTGCAGCGATCCAGTAGCGATACATATTATCTTTTTCCCTTGCAAAGCTGCTACTTTCTTGGGACGTCTCACGTGATCGCCAGTGCCATGACCTAATCTGTGATAGTCACCTTTGCCCCTAGAATATTTATTAAGGGGTATAGCCTGTAATAATTTCTATAAAGACCTACCAAGTGTAAACGCTGCCTGATCTGGTAAGAGCGACGGAAAACTGAGAACCACATTCCACTTTGACAACTCCCAGACCGGCCAGACTCTCTATCTTCATGGGTGTTTTGCAACCGTCAGATCCACCTCTCCCTAGTTTGCCGTAATCCCCGTCACCCCAAGACCAAACGTTATCATCATCCGTTATACACAAAGTTTGTGCGTCTCCTGATCCACACGCTACATCGACGACTTTGTAACCCAAAAGAGCTTCAACCTGGAAAGAAATTGAAGAAGAAATGCATTTACTCTAACCTATCCTTACCAATTTTGGTTTCAACTGATCTTCACTGTCTCCGTGGCCCAAACGGCCGTAACGACCTTTACCCCAAGTGTACAAATGTCCAGACGAAGTTATAGCGGACGAATGTGCCCCGCCACAAGCTATGTCAACTATTTCGTAACCCTGCAGAGCTTCGATTAGTTTGGGAGTTTCACAAGAACTGGTAAAAAAATTTAATTAGTTTCTGTGACCACAACGGTAAGAATAATGTACCTTCTGTTACCATGTCCTAACTTTCCGTCATCACCTTCGCCCCAAGAATAAACATCGTTATCTGCGGAAAGAGCTAGACAATGTTTCCCACCGGAGTTCACAGCTATTTTCTTTATGAAAACATGCTGTATCGATTCTAGCAAGGTAGGGACGAGGACTGAGTCGGTACCACCGATTCCCAACCTTCCACCAGCACCGTAACCTTCAAAAAAATCATTACACCTCTGTAATTTCCGTTAGTATTCCTTCAACTTACCGGTAGCATAAACTTTCCCATCGGCAGTGACAGCGAATAAAGTTTGCTCACCGCCAAGGAGTTGGATGGGTCGTAATGTGGACAATGCCTCGCAGGCAGTAGGAGTCTTTACTTTTGCACCTTCTACGCCACCTAGCTGACCTCTGTGGTTGTGCCCCCAACCGTAAATGGTACCTGAACCACCCCATGAAAGAGTCCAATCTTCTGGACGCCTAGAAAATACATCAGTTGTATAATCGTAACTGTATAAAAAATAAATCAGGATAGTAGCTAGAAATTACTCACCGATTCAACCAAATAAGTAGTTGTTCGTCATGCTCTTTCTTAAACACCGTATGTTTCTCGTGCTCCCAAAATTCCTCCGTATTCTCCAACGAAGGGTCGCCCAATTTCTTCCTGACCTCCTGGCAGAATCCTAAGGGTAATGGGGTACGATGTATCAGCGATTTGGCGACCCTTGCAGCGTGACAGTACCTCCGGAACCAAGACCATTTGTGATTATCCACCAAACCAACCATTTTATCCAATTCAAGATCGCACGCCAGAGCGATCAACACCTAGAAATTAACAAATATAGCACAAAATTTAATGTTACACTAAAAAGTATTTCTCACTTTGAAGAAATCTGAATGCATCAGATGCAATCCTGCTCTGACGGACCCATCTTCGTATTCGTACTGCCTCAAGAGAGCTTGAGGCAACTCTTCCAGTAACGAGCCTAGAGCACTGTCGGGGGCTTTTAATTCCTGCAACTGTGCAGCCACAGCTTCAGCTTGGGCATCATCGCCGACCACCAGCCGGTGTAGCTTTTGTAATGCCCACATTCTTTGAGCTGCAGCTAAAAGTGTAAAGGAAAACTTTTTTAACAACATTCTTTTTACATTGATGAAAAAATTTAAATATGTATGGATTTTCGCAATGTCTTTTACACTTACAAAGGAAGCTGAGTTGCGAACATGCCGCCAATGCAGCAGCCAGTCTCGACATCAAAGAGGTGTCCGCGGCTGGATACAAGCGAGGATCCAACAAGCACATGACCATATCTATAGATGGCTGACTGAGGATAGCACGATCGGAGCCTATTTCACTTAAACCGTGGCTCGACATAACCGGATATACAGTAAACCTCCAACCCCAACCATTGACGGAACTGTCACTGGTAAAAGTCCACCTAAGTTCATCACCTTGAAAAATAAAACAGCATTGTACAGAGAATTTCTTTTTCACTGATATAATTAATAATTCTTTTAACAAGGCATCAATTTCCGAAATATTAAATTACATTAGAAAAATACAAAGCGTTAGGACACGAGTAAAATATTATGGATATAATTGGGCTCATAAAATGAATGCTGTAAGATCCCGACACTTTTTAAAAACTTAATATTGTCGTTTCGAGGATATTTCCAGGCAGCAAGGTCCTAAGGAGCTGTCTTTCTCTATTTATATAAAAAAAAAACTCAAAATTGGATTAAATTGCATTGATCAACTAGAAAATTAGTTTTTAACTTTTTTTTGTCGATAATATTAACTGTTTCTAAGAAACAACACATTTATTGTTTTGAAGACTCTAAGGTGTCTTTTTGAAAAATTACAAACAAATTATGATCTATTTTCTCTGTATAAACTTGATACTTATGTACATGAAAAGTTTATTGGCGAAGACAGACAGGGTCAGGTGGAGACCATATACATTTGTATGAAGACATTTTTTTCTCCTTATTAAACCCCCTTATCGTTTTATAACAGGTGGATCGATCCTAAACTAAGTCAAGGTCAGAGGTCATCGTCACTGTGATTCACAAACTAAACACAGTGCTTTAAAACAATTATACCAAATACTTTCATTAAAATCTTGAAATGATTTTAAAATGTTATAAAAATCCTCTAATCATATGCATTTTTGACGCTTAACATTTATGTCTGAGATATTTTGGGGTTTTAGTTGAACCGGTTTATGAATTAAAAAATTATGCTTTGCCAATGGTGCTAAGAAGTTAATAATAAACCAATCCTATATTTTAAGCTGAACTCGTGCAAATCACGTTCAAATAATGATACATACATCATATTCGAAAAAAAACTACCTTGAAAAAAATTATGGTAAAAAAATTAACGTAACTTCATTAATAACTCCATATATTACCTGGAATTCTGAGTTCCGATGACCAATCGCTCCATTCCCGTCCAGACCTCGTGGCTACAACTCTTCCAGTTCCGTCGGTGATCTGAAGAGGATCGTGTCGACGTTCCGTCGAACATCTCCTGTCGAATTCAACTCGAAGAGCGTCTGCTCCGGGAAGTCTGACGTGGCCTTAAAAGAATTAGTGATGGCAATTGTGAGGTTAATTAGAACTGCATAAAAAAACATCAGTAAATTTACAAGCAATACGCAACAACTAGGTGGTTAATTTTGTTATGCGGTAAAACCTGTATTTACGAACACCTCTGAATAGCGGATAACTGCAAGTCATAGACAATTTTGCTTTCACAGGATGGTAAGTGCCTGAAATTCATTTACTAACTAAGTTCGCACGTAAGGACAAATAGGAAATAACCTGTCAGGTTACAGTTATACAGTTACACGTAATAAGTTTATGCTACTTCAATTTTTTTTAATGTATTTTGATAATTATCAATTATGTAATGTTGTATTTTAATATTAATACGTAAAATAAACTAAATTAGACCCAGGATATTTCAAGATTTCTCGTGAGTGTCCGCTATTAGGAGGTTATACTATATTTATTTATTTATTTTTTATTTTTTAATATATTCACATTTGCAATGACTTTAAATTTCTGATTTGTAGATCAGAACAGAACGTACTCTTTACATTATGTCATTAATTCTGTAAATAAACAGAAATATTTTATATAAAATGTACAAAAAAAATTTGTTTAAATTCAAATATTTTCTTCAGTTTGGGCAAAACTAACCACTGGACAACAACTACGAATGACTAATTAACCTTGTGCCAACACTAAACGATATCACAACCATAAGACATTGACAGAAACGTAAAATCAAAATAGCAATTAAGATGAACCGTACCTCTTAACGTAACATCGTCGACATAAGGATGACTCGATTCTTGAACCACGGGATGCGGCGTACTTGACATTGTCTGAGTACTGTTCGTAGTATCTTCGAGTTCCGTTACGCAAAGTTCTAACAACATAGCTCCTATAGTCTTATTGGCGCTTCCCATCGCTAAAAAATAACATTTACAAAAATATTTTTTTAATTTTAACCAAATTTATGAATATTAAAGGAAAACATTAGTTACTACTGTAATTATCTTACTGATTAATACTGTAGACAGGACTTCTTTGGCTTGTTCGTCTTCGACTCTATCGGCAACGGCCAATTTCAGCAGGTCCACCAATAATCTAGCGTCGTTTTCCGATAACAAGGAAGTGAATTCGTCTAAGCCGCTTATGTCGCCGTCTCCGATGACTTCCGCATGTGAAGTTAAAGTAGCGGCGATGACGGACATCGCGCTTGTCGACATGCGGGAGTGTTTGGACGATATGCTGGCAGAACAACTACTCGCTGTCATGGACTGGATCAGGGCCACGGGATTTTCTTCCGTCTCCGGGGTCGTTTGATTTGGGCTCTAAAAACAGTTTTACATGTGGTCCATTAGCGTATTATTATTCAATATACAAAAATAAATCTTGTTCCCCAGAATACTACTCTGAAATTATTATTTTTTTCTTAATCAAATCAATAGTCGAAATATAATTGGTTTTTAATCTGCACTTAAATCTCTCTTTACTTACATTTATTCCTGTAATTTCGGCGAGAGACGCCGGTGCTTCTCCACCTCCAAAAGCGATTTCTCCATCTTTATTTATTAAGGAGCCATTAGCTAAAGACCGATCCAAAGGTGTGTCGGAAGAACCAGTTTGCTAGAACATCATCAACCATGGAACACAAAAACCTAAATAAATAAGTATAACTACCTTATTATTTTTCATGTTGGTATGGCTGCACAACGCCCTTATGATGGCCTGCCGCAACTGCTGTATATGCATCGCGTTTAGGATATGCTGTAAAGCTTGCTGCTTTGCGGTATTGCTTTCGAGTGACATCACTATGGTACTTAATGAGGGAGCATTTTTGTTCGACATTCGGATTTGTGGTTTTTCGCTGTCGTATAACCCTAAAATAGATGATCCCAGTGGATCTTTGGCTACGGGGAATATCACAGGTTCAACTTTTGAAACAGTTTGAGTGTCTTGAAGCGTCCAAGCTATGGAATGGGAACTGCCACAGGCTACACGGTTTATGTGAACGTCTTCAAGACCGTGGACAAGAGCCGGCTTACGGTTTACGAGGGTTGTCCCATTGCCCTGTTGGCCATGGTCGTTATCACCCCAGGCATAAACCTATTAAATAAAGTAGTTACAGTATGAAATGAGAAAATATTTGTATTCTTGTCGAAGTCTTTGAAATTATCCACTTACCTGTCCAGATTCGGTAACTGCTAAACAGTGTAACGCCCCCACAGCGACATGTATAACTTTTTTGTCTCTTAATGCGTCCACCATCGTTGGTTTCCTCACATGTTGATCGGTTCCATGACCTAATCTGTAAAAAAATATTTGTATTCCATATTTTTTGCGTGAAGGAATTATTCTGAAAATTCTACCTGAAGTAATCGCCTTTTCCCCAGGTCCAAATATCACCAGATCTCGTCAAAGCGAGCGAAAACTGAGCACCACATTCGATTTGAATGACAGCGAGGGAATTGAGCCGTTCGATATTGTGTGGAACGTTGCATCCTTCAGATCCACCTCTTCCTAATTTTCCAAAGTCCCCGTCGCCCCACGAGAAAACCAGCCCTTCATCCGATAAGGCTAAAGTCTGAGCGTCACGGCTCCCACAAGCCACCTGAATGATTCTGTGACCTATCAGGGCCTTAATCTACAAATTAATTGGTTATTTAACGTAACAGTTTTTCTGCTAGAATGTAGAGCAATTTTGATAATTTTGTGAGTTTCCTATATTTAGAGATAGATAAAAAGTAGTTCAGATGTCTCCACCTTTTATGTAAAATAGTGAACAAATTAATATAAAAGCGAAACAAATAATTTCAACTTTTTATAGGTATGTGTGATGTTTTATAATTCACTGACAAAATAGTCAGCCGTCGACTGTTTTTCATGTGCAGCCTCAATGGATCAACATATCAAGATGCGATTTTTGCATTCAGTTTCTCATATACTCATGTATGTTAAAGAGTATGGAGTGTTCATTGTATCATATGAACATCAACGAGCAGAGTTTGTTGTGACCTCTTTGGATAGTATAATAAATAAAATCGAGGACAAGATGTTTGAACTACTGCAAAATATGAGAAACTTCCAAAAGTATTGACGTTGGAACACCCTGAACACATTTTTACAATGTTTCTGAAAAATGTAAATTACAAACCAATTTTGGCTTCAACTGTGTAACATTATCTCCATGCCCCAATCTACCGTATTCGCCCAAACCCCAGGTATAGAGCTCTCCACTACTAGTGATAGCTGCCGAGTGGGAACTGCCACATGCAATATCCCTTATCTTCTTACTCCTAAGCGATTCTATCATACGCGGTTTATCCAAATTCAACCTGTTACCGTGGCCTAGTTTACCGTCCTCGCCTTCGCCCCACGAAAATACCTTAAATAACAATTTTTAAGTATGGTTGAAAATATTAAACCAATTTTTGTACCTTTCCGTCCAGTGTTAAAGCCATAGCGTGCTTGCCACCAGAATGTACTGCTACTTTTTTAACAACATATTGACTTAAAAAAGGAATTGGCCTCGGGCTTGGTACATTGTTATTATGCCCCAGTCCTAAACGTCCGTTTGTACCCTCTCCACAAGCGTACAGCTATGAATGAAGTATTATGTAATTAAAACGTATAAATAATTAAATTTTTCTTACCTTTCCTTCCTGCGACACTATAAACAGAGATTTCGATCCTCCGGCTATATGAATAGGCCTTAACTGACTTAAAAATTCTGAAAATACAGGTAACTTCACTTTGGAACCTTTCATTCCACCTAGTTGATCTTTGTCGTTTAAACCCCAGACGTAAACTTTGCAACCGGACGTGTTTGGGGACGGGAAATCAGTATTCGATTCTTGTGCTGGAATAAATTATGGTTAGGTACCGAAGTAAGATTGAAATAATCAATGAAACATACTCATCGACACCAGTAATGGTCCAGGTGTTGCTTCTTGACTCAAATCCCAATCGTTTGCTAAGAACGATACAGACGTTTTCAGTTCTCCGCAAGATTGTTTTTTAATTCCCACTACGGTTATTCCATGAATTTTGCAGTCTATGCCATTGTTCCGACATTTTATTATATTTATTTCGATAATAGGGTAATGCTAGAAAAAATAATTTTACAAACATATTGAGAGGCAACAAAAAATATATGAATATACAAGGTGATTTAATAGAACCCGGCAATATTTTGAATGAATCATGTAACAGTACATTGTGTAACGAGTGAGGAAAAGTTGCCAATAGCGCCACGCACAAAATTCAAGACGACTTGGGAAATTACTTATTTCACTTCAATGTTCGAATGCTCTGTGGCGGCCGGCACGGCTCGTTCAGGGTTAGAAAATGTGAGAGCGCCGAATTAGCAGGAGTTAAGGGCTAATTTGCTTTGCTTCTAAAAGGTCGAGTAAAAATTTTTTTTTTCGATTTTCTGTCTATACAAGGAGGGACCCAAAAATAACCAGAATTTCTTTGTACTTTATTGTTTTTCAATACAACCTTAATCGCATTCAAAGTACTCTCCGTTAGCCTTTTAAAAACGTTCTCTTTGATATCTGCTAGCATCTTCATGACACTGCATTTTACATGTTCGACATGTAAACGCTTTCCATTCATATCCCTTCTCATCCTCGGGAACAGGAAAAAGTCTGAAGGTGCTAAATTTGGCGAATAGGATGTGTGGGTCAAGCTAGTCGTCTTCGTTGAGACCAAAAACTGGCGAACACTGAGGCGGGAGTGTTGCCGTGATGTAGGAACCACTCGCCAGAACTTCACAAAACCAGACGCAGCCTTTTCATAACCTCCAAATAGAATTGGTGGTTTACTGTCTGGTTTTGAAGGACAAATTCTCAGTGTACGATCCCTTTAATTTCATAAAAACAGATCAACATCGTCTTCACATTCGATTTCACCCGACGAGCTTTTTTTTCGACGAGGTGAGCGAGTTGACTTCCATTGGCTTAACTATGTTTTACTTTCTGGATTGTACCCATAGCACCGTGACTTCTGATGAATTTGTTGAAAAAATTTGGATCGTCTTTGAATGCGTGCTTTATTTCATAACAGGCTTGAACGTGATGATCCCTTTGATCTCCGGTGAGTTTCCATTGCGTTCTTGCCGAGTAAAAAACAAAACTTCACAGCTGCACGTTGTTCATAAGAATCAACCATTTTTTCATGTCACATCTGCACTGCACACGCACACCCACACGCACACCCACCCGCACTCGCCACAGAACTGCCAGAGAAACCACACTAGTCGTTGTCGGATGACGCCGCTTGGCGGAATGACTCAGGAGAGGTCCTACAACTGCCCTCTGGCAGCGCAACCTGATACTACATGTAACCGATGCACAGCATTACGATTCCGGTTATTTTTGAGTCCCCCTCGTGTTAGGACTTTCGAATACATGGTTAAAATTAATGACATTATGACTGAATCACCCTGTATACTGATTTATTAATATATTACCTTATCTAAATTCATTAACAGTAAAACAGATGTATCATGATTTTTTACATTGACAACATTCAATTCCATCAATGAGTTAGAAGAATGGCCACCATTTACGACAATAACAGACGGCATATAACTGTTATCCGCCGGATCTACCCCTACTTTCAAAGTTTTGATTATTATATCTGGATAAATTTCTAGCCTTATCCAATGCTAAAAAAATGCATAGTGATTAAAAAACAAAAAATCAAAGAAACATTTTTTGGGCCATTTTTTAAATTATTTTTTATTTACCTTTCCTTGAGTGCCGCAGCTCTGCCAAACAGAACCGGGTATCTCGAAACGGACAGCATACTTAGAAGAAACGGTGACGTTCTTTACTATTCTGCTCCACTCAGTTACGATTTCGCCATCTGCGTCGATTGTGTCGTGCCTGTAGTACCTACCGGGCCTGCCAGCATATATCTCCGGAGATCCTGAAAGAAATATTACAGTATAAATAAATCATTCGAAGAATACAAATACACAATTCTGTTTTAAAAATATCAGTACCTGGTTCATGTACTCTTACAAAAGAATGTCGGTGACTTCTCTTCGTGTAGAAGCAATTATCGCACAGATCGAAATTCTCGCAAGTTTTACATTTAAATCGGGGACCCCTGATGGGAGTTACACAACAGCTGTTGCACGTAACTCCCTCATGACAAGACGGTACGATTTCCATTTCTGATATTAGGCCCGTCCAATTTTGCTGCTTAGGGAAATCTACTGTCAGGTCATGTCCGTTTGGAGCGATGGCTAAAAACAAAGGAATTATTTGTGCTTAACATCATTTAACAAAGATTTCACTTACCTGTAACAACTCCAACGCTATCATGAGTCACGTATCCCCATTTATATCTAGGTGTGATGACGTTTGGCTTGACTCTCACCTTATCGCCCACTTTAATCGTTGACGGTGTGGGTAGTGACGGTGGGAATCCTAACAGCTCGACGTGGATGAATCTAACCCAGTAGGTGCTAACTTTGTGCTGCCAGTTTACCTAAGGAAATGTTAAATGAGCAGTTTTCATGAGTTTAAAACCTAACAATAATTCAGTCCGGGACATCGACATTTTCAAACACACGAGCCTAAATAACTAAGCCACAGACTATTTCTATGATAGATGACGATGGAGTAATAAACAGTTTTTGGGGCATCCTTTGTAAAAATTTAATTTTTTACTAAATGCAATTTTTTTGTTGAAGTCATGAATGTTATTTTTATTTCATCTTGTGACGTTCAAGTCAAAATAAGTTTGTAGGCAGGCCACCTCAACAAAGCTCAGTCATCATACCTGCAGATTTAAGTCGTGAAGGCCTTCCCTGTCGATTTTAACCACTTTCCCGATATCTCCGAGCTGAACTTCCTCGTAACTCTTGCAACACCTCACCAGCATACCAACTTCAACGTTGTCGCGGACATACATGGCATATTCATCGTTCGATAAGAACTGCGACCTCCTGGAGAAGGACTGTGGTTTTGAGTTATTTTCATCGCCCTGAAAATGAGTTAATTATAATTAAATAACATCACTCAGTTTCCGTAACACATACATATTGAGTTAACGCTTGAGCCCCCAAGGCGTTGTCATAAGAAACAGATTCTGTATCGGATTCATAAACAGAACTTAAAGAATCGCTATCCTCCGCAGCTACTTCGGGATGTTCCAAGAGCCAACTTACCACAGATTCGGGTGTCATCAAGTTTTCAGTTCCAATCGCTGAAAGAATAATTGTTAAAATTATCGCATGAGGGGAAAAAACTGTCATTACCAAGCGATTTTATCGCGCATTCCACAGCTTTCTTTGTAAAGCCCATCTCCATGATCTGCGACACCATAGGGTGTAATGGTACTTCATCCTCTAATTCTCTGCGTTTATTCGTCTTCTCGCTTACAACGCTTTTCACCGAGCATTCGCTATTAGGTGTAGCTAATTCACTGTTACACCTCGTTCCATTCTTAGGAGTAGGTTTATCGTTATTGATACCGGAAGGCGTCTCAAAGTTTCCTTCCGAGGCCAAATACTGGCTCAAATTGAGAGCCGCCAACTGCATTTCTTGTATGTTAAAACCCGGTTTCAACGGACTGGGTCGAGTGGCTTTTCCTAGTAATTTTTGGATCAAGAGTACCGGCTGTTGGTTCAGTTCTTCCTCTATGGATTGCTGTTCCTGCGACTGGTCCATTCCGTTAACAGGATGCTTCAGGATTTTGCGCAGTTTGTATTGATTCATGTGTAGGACGCGGGTTGCGTTCAAAGCGCACAAGATGTTTTGTTGACTTCGTAGGTAAGGTAAATTTACTTGACCTGAAAAAAAATTATCGCGAATAAGTCAGAAAGATGAAAACTGAACAAAATGTATATTATTATTAAGTATATTCAATATTAAAAGATGTGATTATTTAGACCATTCTAAGCCATTTAGGGCATAAATAAAGAATCACCCTTTTTCTCGGAGCAATATTAATTAATCTTGTGCAATTATTATTTTTTCACACTTACCATGGTAGGATTTCTTATCGTGGCTATTCAGAGAACTGTGCCGGATAAGTAACAAATTAGCCCAGGTCTTAATAAAATTCTCACTTAAAGGCATCCGATCAAAGTTAAACTCGGTGACACCGAGTAGTTTTAAATTGCTCACCGGCACTTTCTTAATTTCGCCAGTCTCGTGCAGCTGAATGCACAATTTTCCCTTGGGCGTTACTCTAATTACGGTTCCCTGCCCGCTCTCTATTTCTGCAGTGGCGCCGATCCTTGGCCTAACGTCCCAGGCGCCTATAACGTTCAAGCAAGCCACAACCATATACTGTTGCTGATCGGAAGACGATCCATCGTTCATCATAGTCGTCAGGCAAGCATCACTTAAGAAGTAAGCAGCCAAATTGAGTTTCTGTATCAACATGGCATTCAAAATTTGGTTCCAACCCAACAATCCGTGCAATGTTCTGAGTAGGTTTATGATTTCTTGCCCTAAGGTGCTGCTGTGAGACTGGGTCAGTAACACTAGGGATTTTGTGGCGGTAAATGACTTGTTACCGGTATCGTAGGAGCACGTAAGGACGACTTTACCAAGAATGCTCAGAAGTTTTTCTAAAACTGACGGAATTTCGGAGTTGTCCATGTCCCACGTTTGGAGAACGACTTGCAAAAGACGTATGGCTAAAATCTAAAAACAATAACATTATAAATATTTCTGTTACTTTATTTTTGATTAAAAACTTTTTTGAAATTTCATTTTTGATGTTACCTGTTTCGGTAAGTTAATATCGTTTCCCCCGACAGAATTCGGTGGTATCAGAAAACCCAACAACATATTAATCCAAGGATTGGTACTGAAGGCCCTGGACAGCTGAGGTGTTTGACAGATGGTTCTAACCAATGTTAGATTGCACCACTCTGAGCTGGACGAATTCAAAGAAGCGCAAAACAGGCTGCTCAATCCGTGCACGGTACTGTGATGAAGGTTGTCTTTGCATAACCCCGCACTGAGGGCGATGTTTCTGAGGAAGTTGATGGTCGAGTCGCGAAGCAATTTGATTAACTGGTTGTCTTTTACTAGATGCGAAGCTGAACACATTATTTAGTAAATAAGGAATTGTTTTTAAGTAAACTTGATATGATACTATTTATTTTATTTATTTATGCAGGGAAACCTTATACAGGGTGTCCCTTTTGCTTGTGTAAAGAATCCGATACTAATCACAATGAGCAAGCAATTCCTAAATCCAATCATTTTCAAGAAAAAAATTATAAAATCCCCAAGTTGAAGTAACGCTTCAATTAATTAAGGAACCGTAATTTTGAGCACAAAATAACATAAAGTGCAACGTTTACTACTTCTTGAATTTGTTTATATTTAATTTTAATAAAATTATTAGTTTTCTTAATCAATAAAATAATATTGCACATTACGACAGTAGTGGGACAAAATAATAGCAGTATGCTACTAGCAGAACCGTCAGTTTGTTTTTTGGAAAAAACTGTGTGCCCACACAATCAAAAAATGTTTTAAAATATATGTCATTCAACCCGCCTTTTTTATAAAATTGTTACTTTCAATGTTATTGGAGGTCGCTACTTTTGATTGGGATACCCTATAGGAAAAATTTCATTTGAAAGGATGAATGAAGGATAAAAAGAAATACAAATCATCACAAAAAAATTAACGCTAGATCGAAAACAAGATAATTAAATAAAAATACAAGGAATAATGTAATATAGGAAAAACTGACAAAAAAAGATTAATCACAAAAAAAAACAAAAACTGAAATTAGAAAACCTTTTTTACTAACCGTGATCGCTTGGCTCTTCAGTTTCTGTCTCGGAAGTCACTGGAGATGGCGGAGAAGCCAAATTGAGGTCGTATTTGCCCTCTATACCCATCCTATAACTGTTCGTTGTACCATTAGCCCATTCCACTCTCACCCAGCCATCGTCGCCTAGCTCTCCTATAACTCTGCCTTCCCCTGGGGGATTCCCATCCTTAAAAAATAAATTTCAGTGTTACCAAACGTTTTATATTTATCCATTTCTTTCACCTGATCGCCCCATTTCCAGTCGGCACCTCGAACTACCCTAGTCCCCAATTTCATTAAAGATGCTAATTCGGGTCCTGACAAAAAACTCGTCTTTGGTTTACTATTCTCAATCATATCAGCGTATAATACGTAAAATTCGGACACCTTTCTGACTATGCTCTGATCGGATCCTGCCTGTTTCAACAGTCCTAATACGGAACTGATCACGCCGCTGTTGATAAGAGGATTTAGTTCTAGGGCATTGTATCGATTAGACGCCAATACACCCAAGATAGCCAGAAGCATCCTAGCCCTGGGAATATCTCTTAGTAACGTGTAAGTGCCGAGGTTTAAACTGACTTTAGCATTTATCCCTTTGGTTTTGCCGGATTTACTTGGAATGTCTCTTAGTATGTAGCCCCTTAACGTTTCAATACACCATTCGGTTACCGACAGTTGAAACAGGAGCATCTCGGCTTTTAGATAAGGCGTCACCAATTGTATGTCGTCTAGGCAGTGTTTCATGTACTCGTTCTTTTTATTCAATCCTAAATAGCCGCTTATTATGGCGTATCTCACTGAATTTAACAGATAGGTTTGGTTGAGGAGATGCGATATCATTTGTAGGCCTTCCTTGCGGATTTTACACCGTTTCACCTGAAATATACTATGGTTAATGACAGATGTTGCCTATAGACATCTATATTTCACCAGGGTAACCGTTTTCAACACTTTTGGAAGGTTCTTGTAAAATAGTAGATGTCTCAGGTTTGATTTTTGAAACAATTCGAATGGCAAAAATCCATACAACTCAAGAAAATTTAGATTTGACAACGCATGCTATACCTCCTAACTGGATACAAAAGGTATGAAAATAAGGTTTATAAAATTGAGTTTTTTACGACGGAATTTTAGAATACACACTCATAAGAGTTTCTAAAGGTCAAAGAAAGCGTATGTGTACTCTAAATATGTTCTTTAAAACAATGTAAATGAGGAATCTTAGTTTTTGGATTAATTAATATGACATTGACATGCACTATGACTTTCTTACAGCTTTGTATTTTGAAAAAATTTCTTTTTGTGCAAATACAATATATGATACATCAATCAAAGGGAAATTTTATGCAGATTTCAAAGATTGAACATGTGGGTAATATGATTATAGTACACCAGGAAAATTAGCGAAAATAAAAGAGAAACTCGAAAAAATTCCTAAGCCGAGATATTGCAAAATTTACAGCGCGCATCAATTTGAACTTGTCTTTAAGATTACAATGACGCTTTCAGAATCATGTTTGGTTGAAAATTAACGCCTGTACAGAGGCTTAAAGTTCATAACTTTTGGAGCCTCGGTTATAAACAAATTGAATTGTACGAAACTATTGCGCCTACAACGCCCACTTTTGGCACACTTTTAAAGTATGACAAAACCCTCAACTTGTCATGGGTTTTATAAAATTTTAACAATAAATGCGATAGTTATAAACAAATTTAAAAATGGGCACTTTTCTTGTTTTTTTTACAATAACTTTTTTGTTTATTAACCGATTTTAATTTAACAAGTCTCATTTTGTAGATAATTTTATTCCCTACAAGCTGCCTGTGAGTCACTTTTCGCTAAAATTGATGGTTTTCCCTGCAAAGTGAAAAAACTGTTTTCCTCACTTGTTAAATAGAAAAGTTAGCTAATAAAATTTTTTGACTCACGAGATGAGAGATGTCTTGTATTATGTTCCATGAAACAATTTTACAATAATCTCGCGGATAGGACTTTTTCGAGTAAAAATTTTATTTCTTGGCCTATAACCAAATACCGAATTAAAGAAAAACAATAAAAAAATTTAAAATCCCATTTTCGCCATTCAATTTTTCTAGAAAATAGAAGACAGAAATATTTAAGCTTTTGTACTATGAAAAACACCCGAGAATTTATACATATTGATGAGATACTAACCTGATTATACATGACTTTTCTAAGTCGTTCAACGTCGCATGTAGACTGAAGAACAAACTCTAGAATAGAATGCAGCATATCCATGTTCTCGTGACACACCTTCCTCATCTTCTTGTCAGTCAATTTCGTAACAATCCCAGCAAGCGCTATCTGATTTTCTATCTTCTTTTGTTTGTCCGGTTGGCTCTGCTCGATCCTGGCGGTGTTCTCGATTTTCTCCGTTGCCCATTTCTCGTCCATCTCAGTCTTTATCTCGGTACAGTTCTTGGCGTGTCTTTGGTCGGGCTTCGACGTGTTACAATTAAACGAATCAGTCATAACCCTGCCTTCCACAGAAACCTTCTGGGCGCCGTTTTTAATCTCATTGTTCACGTCGTCAGTCTCGCTTTTCGATTCGGAGATCTTGCTGTCGGAACTGGTTTTTTTCATTGTGGTTTTTGTGATATCTTCCGATGATTTGTGTCGTTCTATACTTTGAGATTGTATAGTCGCGTTTACTATATCTTCCGGTTTCTGGATATCAGAAGTGTGGCGACCGCATTTAAGATCCTTTATAACTTTTTTTACCAAAACTCGTACCCTTGGTTCTTTATAAAGAATATTAACTTTCTTGAAAGCCTCCATTTCTAGGCTAACCGCGGGTTTGACCTCGTACAGTAAGAAACGGCACTTCTCAAGAAGCGGTATGCAGATTTCTTTGTAACTTTTATTGACTTCTTGACGGGTTTTTATTAGATTGAATTTTGCGTGATGGACGATTTTTATAACCTCCGCAATTGCCTTTGGAATTTTCAAGTTAGGTTGCGACGCATCTAGCAAACAAAATATTTATAGTTACAAGACATTTTACTCAGGTTTGTAAAAGGAACACTTACATGCTTCTAAAACGGGTAGCAAAACATAACCGAGTCCTAAGTGTTTTAACAGAACTGCATAAAGAACTCTACCAATTTCCTCTATAGGGTGTTCGAAAGAAAAATCCACTCTAGTTAAGAAATTATTCGCCTTTGAATGCTGCTCTACTATAGCCAAGAAAGCTATTACGTATGAATCCTAGGAAACAACAATAGATTAAAACTATGTTTTTTGGTCCATCTAACTAGCAACTAAAACGAAATTATAAACTTACTGACAATCTGCTCTCCGCTAAAGCGTTTATAAAGGAACTAATCCTATCGTTTGGTTGTTGGAAATTCTTGTGCAATTTCTGTGAAACAACTCTAGGCTCCGTTGGAGTGTTTTCTGCCGTTGAATTTGTGCTCCGGGTCTCACCTTTTTCTTCTTCATAAGGATTTGGAGGCTGATCAACCTAAAATGTGAAATAATTATAGCTAGCAATGCTCTAATAAAACAATTTTATAGTACCTGTAGGCCTCCACTCAAAAACCGTGATGTCAACCAATTACCAGACGCGATCTCTTCCTGCGTAAAGGGCAGACTTTGCCTTAAATTAAACGAATGCAATCCTAGAAGATAACCTAAATTCCTTTCAGCGTCTAATAAAGTAGCACACACCGTTAGGCTATCTAGATTATTCTGCTGCAAGTCCGTTTCGGGTTGGCAGTAATTTCCCACAATATAATTCTCCATGAGTGCCAAAAGTTGGTGGTTCTGCGGGCAACTGTTGAAAATGTGACTTGCGTCCTTTCCTGCGTATTTCTCTAAAAGTTCTGTCATCGATGTATTATCGCATCTGAAATCTTGCACGTCATACACTTTGTTGTTTATAACCACCCATCTCCCGCCATCTAAATTATGATTTTCGAGGTCCGCTTTTCTTATTAATGGCAAGTCATCATGTTGCTTGAGTGAAATATTAATCGGTCTGGCTTGGGTTATACCGGGCCAAGCAATATCGTCCAAATCAAAGACCTCTATGTCGGGAGACACACGAATGAGTTTGTCGAGTGATTTCAGTACATCGCTGAATATATCAAGCCAGTTAATGGAGGTTAGGAACATGCCGACTTCATGTTCGAGGAGAATTAAACTGACAATTAATTCCGGCAAGAGAACGCCTGCAACGGAAAAATGGTAGGTATGGACTGAAGCAAACGCATTCTAGTAAATTTCACTTGCTATTATCCACGAGCCTTTAAACGAAACCGATAAAATGGTAGTCACGAAAAGATAAAATTGAAATTATTCATATGAGTAATGGAAATAATTGAAGTAAATACAAAAGCATTAATTTTACTGATAATTAATAACTATGGTACTAATACTAATGGTGCTAAATTAGTACAAATGGAGTGATAAATATAGGAAACTGGTATAGCTTCACAATAATACTTATCTATATTAGGTCTTATTATTCGAACAAGTCACTGTGTAACTACACTTATTTATTCAAAGGTAAGATTATTGTTATTATTAATCAATTCAAACCATTTATAAAGTTGTGAGAGCAATATATCACGTAGAGCCTAACAGTACGATTATTTTTAAAGCATTTATAACAAATGAATACTACATATTGTAGAAAACATAAGAAAAAAAATTGAAATTAAACATTTACAAAGATATCTTGTAAGGTTATTCAATGATTAATTCAATTGTCGATAGTTCTAAATGAGATACTAAAACGATATTAGAAATAAATGTTGAGGATTAAGGTAACTGTATATTTCTGTATGAAAAATATGAAAACAATATAATAATTTATTTTTTCAGAACTATTCAACATGGCTAGTGCGTTAAGTCTGATACCAATACCGTTTGTCGGGGTGCCCAGATTCTTCTTTAGACCCATCACATTTATGTTGACAGGTTTTGTTAGATTTCTAATGGCAATTGAAAATAGATCTGTTGGAGTGGTGGTTCGTCAACTACTACGACCTTTCAGGATCTTCAGGAGAGTGCCAGGAGTAAATTATTTACTATGACTCATTAAATTGATGTTTACATGAATAAAAAAATATATATCAATAACTTTTTTTTTACTTTTTCCAGTTAAAAATTAAAAACCTCCAGATGTTTTGTTCCGGTGACACACCCACAAGAAATACAAGATATGAATACATTCTGATACTTGCAATGATATATATATTTTTTAAAGCAACCGATAGACATCGACATGTTACTGTTTCATAGTTTATTTTATTTAAAAGAATTAAATTTACGTTTGTGGATTATAGGGCCCGTGACGAACACCCATTCAATAAAAATAACATGCCAAAGAGTAGTACTTAACGGCAGGTGGTATCGAAGTTTGCTACTTAAATTTTGCTTTCTAATAACCTTTCTTTAAAAATTGAGATTTAACAACAATGCATTGCCCAGTTTACAATTGTGCATGCGCTGCGAATAAGACGTGCTTTTATTTGAGGTAAACTACTAAAAAATATTTGAACTATTTAAAAACTGATGTTCTAAGCCAGTTATCAGAATTATTACTTTGACATCTAGATTCTAAATTCATTTTTTAGGCAACATTGTGCACGTCCTTGTTTTATACAGGCTGTTACAAATTCGCTTCTCACTACAGGGATCTCGGAAACGGTAAGAGGTACGAAGTAGCTTAAACGGGGGCAAAGTTGTGTAATCAGGGGACCAACATTATGCCTCTAAAAAATCAAGGCTAACATGATTAATTTTCGAAATATTTGAAAAAACCGAAATTTTGGAAATCCGTTTTTGTTTCATTTTAGCCTTGTTTAAGGTGATATTTAAAAAAGAAGAACACTTTCTTATGGCCACTTTTTGCCCTCTATCAAATAGCATAATCAATTTTTGTATATAACGTTTCGTCTCTCCAGGACCATCATCTTCATTTTTTTAAATACGACCCCAGAAATTTTATTACATTTTTTGCAAGCTTTCATGACCCCCAATACTGTACTGCCTCAGCCCGAACCAGATTCAGACGTTTTGTCTCGAAAAATTCATCAGTGTATTCGTTCCAAATTTTAAATTTATATAAATTTTTTATTTAGATTTATTTGTTTATTGAATTATCGAACACTGCCAGTGTCGTTAGACCCTGTGATATCCGTCTAGTTATTTAAACTATTAAAAACGAAACAAATTTTTTTTGGGAAAAATCCTTGAACAGGTCGATTTTTAATTTAAAAAATACATATTTTAGCATAAAAGGCGATTTTCAACCGTCATTTGTTTTCGAGAAATGACATCGACATTTTTTTTAAATAGCAACCCCCTATTTTTTTTCTTGATTCTGAAAGATTGTTTCATTGTCGATCCGACAGTATTAAAATGTTGCCATCTTACATAGGAAAGTTTTCGAGTAAATGACGATTGAATGTTAGAAAAAATCAATTAAAATAAAGCAAAGACGTTATCAAATTTAGTTTTTCGAAATGCCTGAAGTTTTTTATGGATCACGTAGGTGTAAATCTTTACAAAGTGTCACTGTCATACCGACTTTCTAAGTATTGTAAGCGATATAAAAATTATTGTTGAATTTAAAGTATTATGGCACATTTAACTGTCACACAAAGAATTGAAATTTTAATTCTTATCGGATGCGGGGATAAGACTAGAACGCAGCAGGAAGTTTGCGATTTATTTAATGAAAACCATCCAGATCGCCGTATCAGCCAACCAACAGTCAGTAAGATAGAATCTAAATTTAGAGAAACTGGCAATGTTCTAGATATTTCAAAACCTGGACGTCCAAGCGTTAGTGAAGATCACAAACAGAACATTTTGATAAGTATGGTAGATAATCCTCATAATACTTCACGATTGGTTGCATTAAACAATTAAATTAGTCAGACCACAGTGCTACGTATCCTGAGGCAGGAAAAATATCATCCCTACAAAATTCAACTTGTGCAGGAACTCAATGAAGAAGATCCCAATCGCCGCTTACACTTTTGTGAAATTATGATGGATTTATGTCAAGTAAATAGAGATTTACACCGGCAAATACTTTTTTCAGACGAGGCCACGTTTTGTCTCAATGGTACAGTGAACCGTCAAGCTTGCAGGTATTGGAGTCGGGAAAATCCTCATTGGATGGCAGAGACACAAACCCAACATCCACAGAAATTAAATGTGTGGGCTGGAATAGTTAACAACAGAATAGTAGGGGCCTTTCTTCTTTGAAGGACCCTTACAGGAGAAAGATATTTAGAGTTTTTACAAAATGACCTTGTTCCAGCGCTTGCAGTAATTTTTCCTAACGATAGTGACCCTTATGTTCGTGATGACACCATATGGTTTCAGCAAGACGGTGCACCTCCGCACTATGCGCGCCCTGTTCGAGATTTTCTGGACAACTGTTCTCCTAGGAGGTGGATCGGCAGACGAGGACCGATAGAATGGCCCGCGAGATCTCCAGTTCTTACACCCCTGGACTATTTCTTATGGGGCTACTTAAAGTCCAAAGTGTACGTTAATAGACCACATAATTTAGAAGAACTCCAAAATTGTATTATAGATGAAATACACAGAGTTACTCCAGAAATAATTCATAATGTGCAAGAAGAATTTTTACACAGACTTGCGTATTGTCAAGAAGTCGGTGGGTGGCAATTCGAACACTTCATTTAAGAAGAAAACTTAATTGTATTTGCTTGACATAGGAATTGTTATTTTTTTAATGAATAAAATTTACGTTTTCTAACATTCAATCGTCATTTACTCGAAAACTTGCTATTTAAAAAATAAGGCGATGACGTCATTACTTGAAAACAAATGACGCTTGAAAATCGCCTTTTATGCTAAAATATGTATTATTTAAATTAAAAATCGACCTGTTCGAGGATTTTTTTCAAAAAAAATTTGTTTTGTTTTTACTGATTTTATTCCATACTTTAGGCGCGTACTGTATAAAGAATATCCACAAGTATGGAAAGAGTCGCAAATATGCCCTGTTTATAAAATGGTACTAAGAACGACATAACTAACTACCAGCCCATAGCTATTATAAGTAACTTCTGAAAAATTTTACACAATCGACTTTATTTTCATTTTGAAAAATAAATATCTCTGTACCAACATGGATTTATGAGTGGTCATTCAACTACCTCAAATCTAGTTGAGAAAACCCAATTTATTGCTGAAGTCAGGTTGATGTTGTATATACCGATTTTTCCAAAGCTTTCGATCGGCATTATCATAATTTATTAACATTGAAATTGGAGTCATATGGTATATCCCCTGCTCTATTAACTCTGTTTAAATCTTATTTTAATAATAGGTACCAATTTGTGCAGTATCGAGGCTTTCAATCATGTTCAGGAGGCAGCGACAGAAATTTTGCACCAATTCCTACAAAGCTGATTTTTTCTCATTTTGTCGTTTTGATATCGCAAGTAAACGGAACGGCAGTCTACCGCGCCGATGTGGGGGCAAACATTTATAACAATTTTTGAAACATGTAAATAAATATGTAAATGTCTTATATGTACCTACAAGTGTGAAACTTTTTAGAGTGATCAATTATACCTAAAAATACAGTATAATGATCTACCGCGTCGGAAGCGGGGCCATCAAGAGTCTACCACTCACAAAAGATGTTGAAAAATTAACTTTTTTGACTTATTTCTACAAGGCTGAATTTTTTTTCTCAAATACTTTAGTTTATAACAGAACCAAAGAAAACAGTCTACCGATCATCTAAGGGTGCAAAGCCTTGATAGACGCAATGGAATGCACGATCTCCCGAGGGCAGTCGCTGCGCCAATCCGCTGTAAATCGCTCTGAATAATTATTAATTAGTCATGTCATGTCGGGATTAAATTAAAATCTACAAAGCTGCTTTTTTGTCTATAAGTAGTTTACGATAATTATCGTCAAATAAACGTTTTCTACCTTCGATACATTGAAAATACATTTTTTAAAATAACTGACCTTTTTCTTTTTTAATGTTGGATAATTAAATTTATTTCTCTTTCACTTATAATTTATATCCATGACGTTTACCATAACCACACTGGTGAGCAGCTAGCACCAGGGTTGTCGACTTTGGATTAGCAGTTGTAACCTGCCCAGCCAGCTAGCCCAAGGGGAGGAAAAAGGGGCGCGGGTTCTCAGGTCTTTGAATAATTTCTCGAATATTTGGATTTAATAGCATTTATTCATCATCTAAATTTACAATTCGGTCACCTGTCAACTACTGACTCTACTACCCTCTAAGAAAAATCTTGGGATTCTTTGCTGTTGATGGCTACTCAATTCACCACCGTCTAAAGCGGAGCACACTCACCCCGAAGTTCCCCGGTTTTCACTAACACTTTTTCTTCTTCTGGGTTTCACTTTTTTTCCGTAACCAAAAACCAGGTGACACCCCGTCTGTCTCACCACACTGACATCCCGCTACCTCCCTCGATCAAAACTTAAAACTAAGAGTATCATTGGTTGCCTAACTAAACGGAGTAGGAGCAAAGTGCCCGTTACACAGTAAATACTAATTGGCACAAAAAAACAGAATATGCTAAAACCTGGTAATTTACAATAAAATTGGAAAAAAGTTGAAAGTGGAGTTAACTTGAAGTGTTCTGAAGATACTACAAAGTACTAAGAAAAAAATTATCAATAACTATGAAAAAACAAATAGATAACATTCTGCCTTTTTGTTTGCCAATTTAGTACAATTCACTAATGGTAGTTTGGTTTACGTTTATTTTAAGGATTTAGATTTAACTGATAAAACGACTAACCTTAAAACCAATATAAAAGTAAGGAAATGATCTGGTGACACAACGGAAAGGAATATAGAACAATCATAGATAGAAGAACGGAACGCCAAGGAACTTTAAAAAGAGGTCAAATTACAACTGCCAAGTTAACTTTTGTTTTGCTAATTGTTCACGATCAGGATTGTGGCAGAATTTTCATGATTTTCAATAAAAACATAACAAGGAAATACTAGAGCATATACTAGTTTAAAATTAAAAATACTAAATACTATAGACTAAATTCAAAATTTCAGTACTAAATGGGACGTTCAAAATATCAGATTTAGTATCTTGTATATTGTGTTGGCTATAACGGATGACTCTGCTATAAATTCGACATGTAAAAATCAACAGGCGATGAAACACCGGAAAGGCCGGAGCCGAGACAAACATATTTAGGGAGCAGGAATAAAATCTTTTGAATACCCTGAAAGTGACATCAACTTCTGGATGCAGGGCGAGTCGAAATTTTTCTATCTGTTTCAGGACCGACAGGATCAAGAACCGAAAACGACGACATACACACATACATCTCCCCTCTACTTTCCTTACTCCTCTCCCCTCCCGCGTTAGCTTAACACAGTGCTTCCTAAGCTGCATAGCTGCGTGACCTCACCCACACACGACACCCGCCGGGGGTTTACTCAGATGAGCCGACGAAGAAAGAGGAGCTCCAGAAGGGCCCTTTCCGGCTGGGCCCAGCCAGGACAGGAAAAGTTGCCACGAATTAATCGGCAGTCCGAGATGACGGGGAAAGGGCCTATATCTACGAGGTGTCTGGGCCTACAGCGAAGAAGTGGGTAAAGAGCTATATTCCCGCTCGAATCCGCTCCATCCGAGGTCATATATCCAGCCAAGGATATTGGCTCGCCGTTTGAATAGCCAACCAATATTCGCCGAGCCCAAATAACAGTAAATTACTATACTTTTCGTCATTCAGTATACTTCCAAATTGTTTAAAATTAATAATAAAATCACCGAGATTATTTTGTTATTTAATTTTAAAAAACATACAACAATACATTTTATAAATAATAATATAGGATTGAATAATTTTGAAATTAATATATTGCAGCTGCTTATAATAAATATTGTATCTCCTTAATATTGCAATAGTTTGAAAGCAGCAGTCCTTTCAATAGTTCCCGCACAAAAACTTTAGCCATGTCGACCGAAGCTTTAACAACCTTGTATCGAAGATAGAAGACGTTTATTGACAATAATTATTGTAAACTACCTATAGACAGAAAAGCAACTTTGTAGATTTTAATTTAATCCCGGTATGAGTTATTATTCAGAGCGACTTACAGTGGATTGCTGTAACGACTGCGCTCAGGAGATCATGCATTCCATTGCGTCTATCAAGGCTTTGCACCCTTAGATGATCGGTAGACTCTGTTTTCTTTGGTTCTGTTATAAACTAAAGTATTTGAGAAAAAAAATTCAGCCTTGTAGAAATAAGTCAAAAAAGTTAATTTTTCAACATCTTCCGTGAGTGGTAGACTCTTGATGGCCCTGCTTCCGACGCGGTAAACTATTATTATACTTTATTTTTAGGTATAATTGATCACTCTAAAAAGTTTCACACTTGTAGGTACATATAAGACATTTACATATTATTTATTTACATGTTTCAAAAATTGTTATTAATGTTTGCCTCCGCATTTGCGCGGTAGACTGCTGTTCCGTTTACTTGCGATATCAAAACAACAAAATGAGAAAAAATCAGCTTTGTAGGAATAATTACATCAATAGTGCCGCTGCCTTCCAGACTATGTCAATTCCATCAATCTGCAAGGGTCAATCTTGGGACCACCGTTATTTATTATTTTTATTAATGACTTAACTGAATGCCTCGATGTCAACTATTTACTCTATGCGGACGACCTTGACAGATTACGCAATTGGTGTTCATGTAACAATCTACCTCTGAATGTAAGTAAATGTAAAATTATGTCTTACAGTCGACGCAAAACTAATCTAGACATTGATTATAAAATTGGTGAATCCTTTTTAAATAGAGTTACGCAATTTACTGACCTTGGTGTTACATTCGATACTAGATTATCGTTTGACGAGCACATTAGTTTAGTAACCAAATGTGCTTATAAGAATTTACGCTTTATTTTGGGTAATTCTAAAGGTTTTAAATATATTGTATGCAGCATTTGTACGTTGCAAACTTGAATATGCATCGGTTGTTTGGAGTCCCATTTATAATGTTTGTAATATTCAATTAGAGAAAGTACAACGGAGATTTTTAAAGACAATAAATTTTTTTAGTTATGGATTTTATCCTCCTCGTGGTACACCTCAAGATATATTGCTTTCATGTTTTAATTTTAATAGTCTCTGCAATAGGCAAATCATGTTTTCAATTACATTCCTTTTTAAAATCATAAATAACACTTTAAATGCAAACTCGTTAGTCTCAAGGATTTTACATCATGTTCCTAGATTTAATTCTAGGTTTCACTCTGCTTTACAATATATCACCCCTATATCAAATGATTTCCAATTACCAGAAGTATGAATATCGACTTGATATATTTTTTCATTCTATGAATGACATAAAAAATTGTTTGTCTAGCAAATGTAATCCTTATCTTGTATACCTATGTTTTTTGTTTTACCTTATCCTGTAATTGGGACTTTGTCCCGTTGGATATTGTAACTTCTAAATAAAAAATAATAAAAAAGTATAAGTATATAAAACATTTTTGAATAAAAATAGAAAAAAAGTAATATCACTGAAAACCAACTGAAAACCTGCTGAAAACATCAGTTTTTTAGTTGTCCTGAAGATGTCACAATATGTAGAGTGACGAAACGTCTACAAGTAAAATTAAGTGTTTTCTTTGGAATTTGTCTTAATTCTCAACATCGACTACTAACGCTATAACCAAAATCAAGACTAGTAGCAACATTATTTAATGACATACAAATAAGTTATTGAGCAAATTGATATATTGCAAGCTGTTCACAGCAAACATCTAAAATATAACTCAGTTCTTCAAAGAATCAATACGATTTTCAAAAACGTGACCAATTTTAATGAATAAAGTCTCAAATTATTCATAAATGAGGGTTCTTTAACATTTAAGGGGCCTGCTTCACATTTAGTTCATAGTTAATTATAGCTCCTCTGAAATGTCAACGTGGCATGTTTTCTTCAAATGAATCTAAGAAAATTCATTCATATTGTGTTAGATGCAGCTCGCTTTCACCTTTCAACCTAGCTCGTTTCAGCAGGTTCATCCGTTTGAACGCCCCGAGCAGAGATTATTTCATCTTTTCGCTTTACCTGACACCCGTCTAATCAAATAACTTTACAGATACATTAACATAAAAATAACAAAAAGAACAACAAATAAATAACTTCCGATATCAATGAAAATACGAAAACGAGTATGAAAAATTATTGACGAACCGCAAGAGAATTGAAAAAGAAATACAGTAATTACTCACCTATTATGTCATTCTTCAAGATCTGCATAACGCAAGTTAAGTTTTTCGAATTTATCAGACTTATCTCATAAGCGGCGTTTAACGTGACTATAACGTGAAAACTGAAGCAATCCAGGTATTTCATCAGGAGGGTTTCGGCGGCATCCCGATATTCCACATTTTTTAAATAAATTTTACCAATCAGTAGCCTCTGAAAGCGCTGAAGGAGCTTTAAGCTCGGCGTTGGAGACGCTTTGTGCGAAGGGGGCTTTGCGGTGGCATTGAATTCTTTTAGGGCGGCCTGCGTTACGGTGCTGCTGTTTCTGAAAATGAATATTAAAAATACTATTTTAGGAAAATAATTGTGAATTGACATATAAATATGCAGGCTGTAACTGTAAGTTGGGATTGTTCAAAATATGTGAAAATTCAAAGTTATACCCATTGTAGACCTACAAAAACAGAAAAAATCGCTTTTACCGCTTATTAAAACCTACCGAACTAGCTGCCGAACGAGATACAAAAGCGGAATGGTGATATGGGAGGACTGATCGAAGTTTTCATCGGAATTAGCCAATTCGGTAATATCGTCACCCAGAGCTTCGTTAAGTGCGGTCTCTAATCCACCATCAGCCATTAAACTGGACACGAGAAGATCTGTCATAAATCTGTGTCCCGATTGGCACATTTTTAGGTCCATATCTAAAAGCAAATTATTTTTGATTCGGAAGAATACTTTTTACGATGCTAACCTGTATTTAGCAGTAAAGACGACAAGGTCCTGGCCCTTCCGTTGGCCGTCGGTAGCAAAATGGACCATCCTGCTTGAAGGGTGGCTTGGGCAGTTGTTTGAACCGTTGGCAAGATGTTGGCGGCAGTAGCCAAGTACACGACTTGCGATTTTAGACTTGATAGGAGTTTACTGTTTACTCCTAAACACAAACTTTTTGTGTCCACATTGTTGCTAATAATGCTGTGAAGCTACAAACGAATCAAATTATGTCATTTTGATAACATTTTCCCGTTGATTAAATAATAAATTTTAAGTATACATTTGTACAAGACTCATAGTTTTACTAGAAAAAAAGACATACAAACGCAGATCTACAAATTATTCCTTTTTGAGATATAGTCCGGGCGAATTTCAAAAATCGGGCCTACCTTGAATTTTATGGGCTTAAATTTAAGTAAAAAATACACAGAATAAAAGCCTAAATTTGTTTATTTGTAGATTATTGTATTATTATTATTCATATTGCTTATAAAAGAAAAAAAATAATTGCTCTTTTTTCAGTTTTTTGCTTATATTTCCGAAAATAAGCCTCTAATCGACATGAGGTATACTTATCGATTTTGTTCCTGAGGAAATTTGCTACAAGAATAGGCTTTTGGGAAAGCTTGCAAAATTTTTTTTACATTGTAAAATTAGCGGTGAATAAAAAGGAACAAATTTGACTGAAATTGGATGAAACTACAGGAAAAGATAACTGTTCGGGTGCTCAATAAATACCCGCAATCCGAACCCCCGATTTCAAAATGGGGCCTATTGCAAAATTATAAAGTCGAAAACGCGAGCGTGTATATCTTTTGCCTAGGTTAATATATCAAAATTCGGCAAAAAAGGATTGAAAGGTAATTATATTATCTCGCGTCTGTGTAAATTTCAGATTTTTAAGATGCAAAATAAAAAAGTTATTAACAAAAAACCAAAAGAAACCGTAACTATGGTTTTTTTCTTGGCGATTTTTTAATATACAGATTTCAAACCAATTGCATCAAATAGTGCTTAAAAAAATATGAATTTAAAAAAAAAGCGTCTTGATCCGACCAATAGGAGCCGAGATAATTTTTTTCCTTAAAAACGGTATTCTGCCTATTCTACACTCACCGGCATGAAAAACTGAGCACTTGCATTTTTTTCAAGAAAAGCTTAAATTTCAAAGAATTCAGATGTTTTATTTTTCTAATGCAAACATATGCAAAACAAAACTTTTTAAACAATTTTCAAGAATGCTTTAAAGATTATTTTTTAATTTTGCACAAAATTTATGAAAGCTGAATGATGCAGTAATCTTATTCCTTAAAAGTTCGTAGTGGGCTCTGGATATACGTGTTTTTAAATTGTTTTGTAAACAACAAAAAGTTAAAAAAGGGTGAAAGCAGTGTTGTGAGTTGTATTGCGTTAGTTTAATCACATGAATAATGGCTGTAAATTCTGAAACAGCAGCTGCTATTGTTGCATTGATTCAAGATGGAAGAAATCAGCGATATGTTGCCCAACAGTATCAAATATCGAATAGCACAGTCCATCGCATTTATGGACGTTTTGTGGAAACTGGATCTTACAGCAGTCAACCTGGAACTGGTCCTCAACGGAGAACCAATGCACACGATCATCGTTTTATTGTCATGCAAAGCCTTCGGAATCGGCATGCTACAGCTGTAGAAATCAGAAATCGGCTTCATTACGTTCGAAATACCAACGTAAGTGAAAGGACAGTTAGATGCAGACTTGGAGAAGCGAATCTGACTAGTCATAGACCTGCAACAGGACCGGAACTTCTTAGACGTAAGCGCACTGCACGACTTCAGTTTGCTAGAAATTACCTGCTTTGGGGTGAAAACAAATGGGGTCGTGTCTTGTTCAGGGACGAGTCAAGATTTAGTTTGCAGTCTCCAGATGGTCATGAGAGAGTATGGCAAAGACCACAAGAACTTTTGCCGAATGTACCTTCAGTCCTAGAGTCGGATATCAAGGGGTTATGGTCTAGGCTGGAATTTCTCTGGAAGCGCATACAGAACTCTATATCGTTCCAAGGGGCTCCCTCACAGCTGCTAGGTACATTGGTGAAATTCTCCAAGATTTTGTCGTTCCTTATGCTGGTTTCATGGGAGATGACTTTCTGCTAATGCATGATAATGCTAGACCCCATACTGCAAGAATGACATGACAATATCTGAACGAGGTAAACGTTGCTGTTATGGAGTGGCCAGTATTAAGTCCAGGTGCCAACCCAATTGAGCATGTTTGGGACATGCTTGGACGAATTCAGTCGATTTCCTGCGTCACTAACCTTAAATCAGCTTCAAGATGCTCTTGTGGAAGAATGGGAACTTATTGCCCAAGAGGAGATCAGGAACCTGATTTTAGGCATGCCAAGACCAATTAATGCAATAATTAGAAGTGGTGGGGGTAACACTCATTATTGAAAAACTTTTATTGAACGGAAATTGTTTGAGTTTTGGTTATTTTTGCTTTAGTTTGCCACAATACTTTCTTGCGTTTTTTTTTTATTTTGTTCACATTTTGTTGTAAAACATGTGTGAATCATGAATAAATATTTTCTTATTAAAAATCATAGAAAATATTTTGTTTTGATGGTGTTTACACTAATACAGTACAAAAACATTAAAATCAATTAAAAAAATAAAATTATTTAAAAAACTGTGACTGTTCCGTTTTTCGTGCCGGTGAGTATATTTAATAGTTTGTAATAAACTTGAGCTCAGGAACAAAATCGATATGTATACCTCATGTCGATTAGAGGCTTATTTTCAGAGATATAAGCGAAAAACTGAAAAAAGAGCAATTTTTTTTTTTTTCTTTTGTTATAAACAATATAACGTCAACCTCTACAAATACACAAATTTAGGCTTTTATTCTGTGTAATTTTTACTAAATTTTAAGCCCATAAAATTCGATAGGCCCGATTTTTGAAACAGGCATGTGTTTGGTCTAATTCACCCGGATTAATAAAGTTTAATAATGTATTTGGTAATTTTCATTTGTTTTACAGGTCCTATTTGTTGGCCAACTGGATCACCAGACTTAAAATTATAGTAGTAGTCAACAGGCCACAAGAAGTACAACCATATTACTATCCAAACATTTGAAGATACAAAAAAAGATCACAAGATCAAAATGTTCAACAATAAAACAGAGGTATAATCATTTCTCAAAAGAACAATCAGTGCCATTGCAACAAAAAATTTAAAGGGACTATCGGGGTCGTGGTCCCAAATAAAATATCACCTTGTAGATTACTTTGAACTGTAAATTAAATTCATATACTCTGACCATCTTGGAGAGAGTGGAGAAATGTATCGAATTTGAATAGATTATCTTTGAAAATTTGTAAAATAAATGAGAATGGCTTAACAAATAAAACTACAATTTATAACTTTTAAATGGCTGAAGGACTTTAGTCGATGGTTGGTTTATCCAGTTAAATATGTATATGATCATTATTATTAAAATTTTGTTGCTCTATACCAAAAACGAAACTTTTGTGGACCTATGTTCATTTGAACTACTTTTAATATCCTAGATCGCAGCATCACCATTCACCTCACATAACCACAATTATTTTATTTATAATTATTTTAATAAGCTGCACAGTGTTATATTAAATAAAGTTATTCAATACCTGAAGATGAAGTAAATTAAGAACCGAAGTTGCCAAACATTCCCTATCCTGAGACAAGGGGACATTATTAGCAATAACCTTCTCCAATAGTTGATCTATAAACCTAAAATAATAAAACTTCAAACCCATTCCCTTCAAAATAAAAAAAAAAACACTTACTTGAAAGTATACTCGGTGAGATCGATAACGAAAGGCAGCATCGTTTTGGGCATAAATGAATTAACGCCAGTCCAAGCAAAGCTTTGTGTCGGGCCACAGGCGATTCCTATGACTTTCTGGCCTTTTAAGGCTTCTATGATCCTGGGTTGCTGAACGTACATCTCCGAACTGTCGCAGATCTGTTTGTTTTCGTTCTTCCCCCAACCGTACACCTCTCCTTTATCTGTGAGGACCAAGACGTGGGCCGTGCCGAGACTTACAGCAATAACGCGTTTGTTTTGAAGGGCCTCGATAGGTTCGGGAACACGAACGTGTTCTTCGGTGGCATGGCCAAGCTTCCAACCCTCACCCTAAAATAATAACATGGTATTATTTTTAATAATTTACGAGTTATGTTTCACACATTACTGGAAACGTTTAGAAAGTAGTTTAAGCAATTTTCAAAAGATGGCGCTGTGCTTAATACTGAATTTCAACAGGTCTATCAACCATAAAATACAGGTTGGTATGTCGGTAATAAGCAAATCCCTATAAAGGTAACTACATTTCCCGCAATTTTGTTGCATTTGGAGAATTCTTACAATTTAATTGCCGCGATAGAATTACTGTCTGATAAAAAAATTTCATAGATTTTATCGTGGCAACCAAATCCCTGCAACCAAATGACAATTGCACTGTCGGATACAGGCTTAAAAAATTGTTCAATCAGGGTCAAAATGACTGTAAAAAAAGAGAAAATAATTTATATATCAACGTTAAAAGAAAACTATATATTTTTGCTAAAAAATTTTACCTTAGAAATGTTTTATATACCTTTCCCCAGCTGTAAATAGTGCCCTCCTTGGATAAAGCAATGCTAAAGTGAGGCCCGCAATAAACGTTGGTTATTTCAACATCCTGCAATTTTTCAATCAGGCGCGGTACTTTGGAACCGTCGGATCCCCCTCTACCTAGTTTTCCATAATCGCCATCGCCCCAGCTGTATAATTTCCCTTGACTCGTAATGCACAAGGTGTGGGCATCCCCAGAACCACAAGCAACCTTCACGATATGCTGGCCAGAGAGACCAGCGACCATCGTCGGAATGGCGCAATCTTCGAACGTGCCGTGACCCAGACGACCATAGTTTCCTCTCCCCCAGGTGTATAGAGAACCATTGGCGGAAACAGCAGCACTGAAAATGCCATTAAGTAGAAAAATTGTGTCAAAATTGAAAGGATTAAAATAACAAAATAGAAATACCTATATGTAGCTCCACATTCTATGTCTATGACGTCTTTCCCTACAAGAGCTTGTATTAACGTGGGTTCGTCTTTAAAACTATTATCACCATGTCCTAAAAAGTCAATTTTTACTGACACCATCTAAATAAACCTATTATAACTTACCCAATCTTCCGCCATCACCGTTACCCCACGAGTAAATCTCAAAGTCTTTTGTCAGAGCCATAAAATGTTTTCCTTCCGTATGCGTAGCAATTTTAGTTACATCCTTGTCTTTTAGTACTAAAAATAATAATAACGCTCAAATATGAGTTGTAACTCCACGAAATAACACTTTTACCTTCTACAACCTGTGGGCATTGCGTTTCAGAGGTGTAGTACATATAGTAGACTTTCCCGGAGCACGTCAAAAGCAGTATGCCTCTCTCAGAACAACGCAACTGCTTTATATTTAGTTCGGCAATGGTCTCGCAAACCTGGGGCCCTGTACCTATCAACCACGACAACCATCCCCAGCCCCAAACTCGCTGACCAGTGAAATATGAGGGAGACTGCAAATTAATTCAGTTTTGAATATCGTAGTTGCGACTTCAAAACGCAACATGTGTATTTTATTAAATTGTTCAGTGGAGTTAAAAAACTATTTCTTGGCCTTTTTTATTTAAGAATTGCAACAATTATTTTTAATTTTACTGTAGAAGCTGTTTTTAACCAGATTATGCAGTGTGATATTATTTATCGAATTCTTCATTTAACGTGTTTTGTTAAAAAATATGCATATGTCGCATTTTGACGATGTTAATTCAGAAACGTATGAAAAAAAATATAAATCAGTACCTTACTAAATGATAAGGGGGGTATATGAGGTGTCGCCAGTCTATCTAAGTGTGCCATGATGTAGATCGCAGCTTGTTTAAGGTCAATTTCGCAGGCTTCGTCCTCGGGCAGTTCCAATAGTTCGAGAAAAACTTTGGTGCTGCTAGAATTAACCGTATTTTCTTCTTTTCCACTGAATACCGATTGTGTGGGTTGTATTTCAGAAAACCTTCTAATAAAAGGCATTAGGGGAGCGCTAGCTATGTCCACGTTTGACCTACAAATTAAAAAATTCATTCTTTTGATTTAATTCCACTATAAAATTTACAAAGCATTTAGTTCATGCATTAAAGTTAATAAAAATTGCGCTATTTTGATTTTGTTTAGAAAAAGAACAAATAATGGGAAAGGGCAAAAACAACCACAATTTTTTGTAGTTTTCTCCATTATCATAAAATGTTAAAATTGTCTGATTTTTATAATAGGATGTACCCCTGTGCGTGTATCAATTTCCAATACAACAAATATTAAAAATTCCATCCCTCTCTACGAAAATGTGAGCGACTAAAATTTATCATTATGTTCTAAGTTCAAAGATAAATGTTTCCTGCATACCGCATGCCCCTTTTTAGCAGAACATTTTTTTCTTATTTGTGAACAGAGAATCTAATAGGCTTGATAATTGATTATAGGACATACTGTGTATCTATTTTAAAGAAATTTTTTTTAACTTAGTTCACCGTTTTATATTTACCAGGTTATGTTACTAGATAAAAATAAATAAATCCTTTGAATTCATGATAAAACGAAGTATATAATAATAAACAACAAATAATTTTGTCTTTCTACATAAATTTGCAATGGGAGTCTTTTTGCAACTGTCAAAAATGGAGAAATTACAAAAATATTTCAGAAATGAGAAACAACTCTTTTATAGTTAATGTGTTTATCTTATCTTATTGTATAATCTACTAAAGACATACCTATTATCATTCATATGCATACGGTTGTCCCACAAATTTAAAAGCAATAAAACCATATCCAGTATGCTACTAAGAGTTCCCTTTTGAAAGGCAAATTCAAGAAGTAAGTTTAAGGATGTGTGTTGATCCTCGATAGGAACATTGCAATATTGCCTGCTACTCGTAATATCTCTGTAAAAAACAATGCTCGCACAACTTTTTTAATATTTCCAGTTATGAACTTACCCCGTTACAACCTGCCTCAAAAATTTTATGGACCGCTCAACAACCTCCAACCAAACAGGAGAAATATTCTTCTGGTTGTAGAGCGTCGCAACTGGTAACATTTTAAGCGCATCTAGAGATTCATTTAACAATTCACTACACAGATCTATATCTTCGCCAAGCCTCCAGGCTCTTCTTAGAAAAGCAAACGAAAAATTAAGAGCTGCCCTCGAACCTACCCTAGCTAGCCCTATGGCAGGATCTAGAGTAGTAAGCTTGTTTTTGCATTTATTTATAGATTTGGCATCGTTTGGATCTATACTACTTTTCCTAGCGACGTAGCCATTTTCAAATTCCACTGAATGAGGTATTCTGTTTAAAGCGATGAAATATCTTTTTAAAATAAACAAACGATAATATAATCTAGTTGACGATAGTGTAGAATTGGATGCCTCTGAACACAATAACTTTTGCTCATGATTCAAACTTAAAATTCCCTGTGAAAGTTGGTAGACACCTAAAAAGCGAGATGTGACACAACAGACAATGGAGATCAATAAATTTATTTCTCAAGTCTACAAATCATAGTAAAACTTACTTGGTTGCGGACCCCATGCCCATCGGTCAAGCAGAGATTCCATGGATGGTATTTTTTCCTTTTCAGGAACATTCTGTGAAGATGCCTCAGCATCAAGTTTCTGGCAAGGTTGGCAGTTACAACCGCTATGCGGACCACAAATGCCATCACAGCAGGTACAAGTTAATACCTGAAATTTAATTGTAAAACAATTTATTTCCAGATACTACAATAAAAACATGCAACTAATTCACTAAATTTTGCAGGTGCTTACCCTCTGACCACAGTAATATTTGCCAAATTCTCCTTGTTTTGCTGTAACCCCGGCACTATTTAGCAACCCCTCGGAGAATTCCCCAGTTAATTCTCCATCAGCTATTAATCCGTTCCAACAATTTATTAAATTATCTTGTCCACTAAATAAAGTTTCTAAATTGGTTCTAAGCCATTTAATATCGAGTCGAGGCTGAGGCCTCAGTGTTGTCTCAGCATGAGACATATTTTAAATAAATATCTGCAAAGTAAATTCATAAGTTAGATATCTAAGAAAAGGTGGGTGATTGACAACTACTGGAATAATTTGACATCTGCGGCTACTGCAATCAAAAAGGTTAAATAAAACTTAGTATCATATTACAGAAAATTACTTATTACGTGAAGACTAATATTTTATAAACTATTAAAATAAATAACTATTATTTACAAATACCAAATACCTGTTAATAAATGTCATTATTTTTTGACAAGGCTGACACTGCTGACAGCACAAAATATATAATAGAGCTGACAGATTCAGCCATGTTTTTTTAATAGAATTTAATTTCAATTTATAGATATGTTCCGATTTTCAAATATCATCTTTACACTTTACTCTCATAGAGTAGAATTTCACTCTAATGACGTCATGGTTGAATATATTTTAGAAAGAACGTCTTATAGCTGTTTTACATTGACAATTTATTGATCAATTAATTCATGAAGTCGCTTCATCAAGAAATTGGACAAGTGTAATGCACCAAATCTGCTGTCAAATAACTTCATGAATTTATTCATCATGTTCTTGACGAATTAGAGCATGTTCTAATTTTTGCCAATTTCTTGTGAAATTCAGAAGTACTAACCCAAAAGATTTCCAGCCCCAGATCAGTAATGACGAGCCGGCGAAGTAAGAAGAGCGCCAGAAGAAAGGGCCTTAGCCGGCGGGGCCCAGCCAGGACAAAAGGAGGTCCCATAAAGCGCCTACACCGGCCGCATTTGCGATCGGGGTAGACGACGGATGGGGCCCACCTACGAAGGCTGTCCAGGCCTACACTAGATGAGGCAGGATAAAGAGGGATAATCCCCCTCGATCCCAAATCATTGAGGCCAATTTTTAGCCATGGAATAATGGCGCGCGATCCATTTTAATTGTTACAGCATTTTAAAACGTCCAAGTTGTGTTTTTTTAATTTATAAATTTATTATAGCCATGGAATTAGACCCCTCACCTACGCTTATGCTATGACGTTTCGACTGGTAAATCAAGTCCGTTTACACCCAACTAAAAAAGCATTTCCCTATTCCCTACCAAGACAGAGATAGAATATAGATCGACTTTCAGTGTAACTCAGTCTATAGACGATTATAGATTCTATCGATGTGCGTAGCGAGCGGCACAAAGATAAATAATATTGAACCGTATAAAAATCATTTTATATTTTATACGCATTACGGTAATAGTGTTTTTATATTATGTCTGAATCACTCTCTATATAATTTCGGCCGCGGAGAGAAATATTTCTAGTTTTGCTATCGCAGTCCCTTATTTGAAAAAAAATTAAAATGGCGAAATCTGTTAACCGCATAGTGTTCTCGGACTAACAAATATTTTTAATAATCGGTTTATATCGCGAAAATTAATGTTTGTGAGATGTAAAGTAACCATATAAAAATAATATGAAAAGAAAAACCGTGATCGTAAATATTGCTGAAAAAATAGATATGTATAAGTGAAGAACTCGTCAAAAAAAAGATAGCTTCCATATGAGAAAAAAGAAAAATAATGATAGACAAGGTACAGAGACGGGCACAGATAATATTTACTGTCCAAGTCAAAACGAGGTCTATTTAATAAAGGTGTTTTCGCCCAGTACCTTTTTTTTCATGTATTTTCGTTTAGATAATAACTGTTTCTTCAATAATAAATTACTAAACAAGTGGTAATACCATTTATCATTAATTTTTTATTCGGCGCCATTTTAAAAAAGAACATATTACTGAAATTTAAGAGAATAGTCAATCAGTACATAGCAGTAAATCTATCACAGTAGAAAATCCCCCCTCTTAAAAATCGCTGCGATAACAGTCAACTGTTATGTGAAACTGCCTCTTTAGATTAGGAAATCCTAATCTAAGGAATATGTAAAATTGTGTGGCGTCGTGCTAGTTTTGCATTGTTTTTTTTTGATTTGTTCCTTTCAAAAAGGCACATTCAGTAGAATTTTTTTTGCATATTCTAAAAGTTTACCCTTAATTAGTTAGTATGCCAAAAATTAATTTTTTGTTTTAACGAGAAATGTGTGAAATAAATTAATGAAAACAGAGCGCGGAAAAACTTTGAGCAACCATTGCCTGACGTCATAATACCTGTACCGGCGACTGGCAGAGCACTCCGCTCGCGCTCCCTCTCATCCCACTGTGTTAATACATATGGTGTGTGGTTCGCTTGGTAGTTTCGTTAATAATTGTTTTTATGTCCAAATAGGTCGAAACCGAGGATTGTACAAATATTGTATAGTTCCAGGCTGCAAAAGTACCTCAGGATCGACTCCGAATAAAATATTTATTTCATTACCGAAAAATGAAAAGTTTGTGTGATGTTATCCATAGTTTCCCCATCCACGGTATGCAACTCAAAACTACCTTCGTTTTTCTTTGGTTTAACATTTAGAGCACAATTTTCAACTTTATGCAGGAAAAAAAATTCTACCCCGTCTAAACGTTCGTGTTCACAAAAAAATCGAAACACGTCGGCAAGATGAGGGGCCTATAAGCAGTTAAAAACCACCCTCGTTTTTCTTTGGTTGCCCGTATAGGGGGTTGTTAATATTATTATTTGAACATTTAGAGCAGAATTTTAAAATTTATGCCGAAAAAAAAATGTCTACCCCATCTATACGTTCCCGTCCACAAAAATTTCGAAATACGTGGCGAGAGGGACCTATAAGCAATTTATTTAAATAATAATATTTTACAACTCCCTAGACGAGCAACCAAAGAAAATCGTGGGTGGATCTGAGTTGCTTCAAATACTAGTCAAAGTTCAAAGTACTACTCGCGCCATTATTCCATGGCTAGAAATTGGCCTCAATGATTTGAGATCGAGGGGGATTATCCCTCTTTATCCTGCCTCATCTCGTGTAGGCCTGGACAGCCTTCGTAGGTGGGCCCCATCCGTCGTCTACCCCGACCGCAAATGCGGCCGGTGTAGGCGCTTTGTGGGACCTCCTTTTGTCCTGGCTGGGCCCCGCCGGCTAGGGCCCTTTCTTCTGGCGCTCTTCTTGCTTCGCCGGCTCGTCTGTGTAAACCCCGGGGGTAGTGTCATGTTTATGTGTGGTATGGTTGGGTAGGGTAGTGCGGCTATGCAGCCTGGGATGCGCTTTGCTAAG